AATACAGGGTTACTGAATTCCGGATTCCGGATTTCCGTTTTCCGGATTCCCGGTTTACGGAAACTGAATTTCCGGATTCAAAATTCCGGTTTACGGTTTTCGGATTATGTGTTATGTGTCCTGAATTTTGTGCACTGTATTTCGGGATATGCGCTCCGGCTTCTGGATTCCGGAATCCGGATTTTTCGATTCCGGTTTTTCGAATCAGCTTTCTGAATGAATTTAAACGTCCCGAGAATTTGATATTCAGGTTTTCTTGACGAGCAAGAATTTCAGGAAGTTTCCTAGAAGTTACGAGAGCTTCTGAGATTCGGAGGGGGGTGTCGTTCTATTAGAGGTTTTACGGTATCTTCAATCAAAGATCAATTCCATTTTGTTCCTTTTTTCCCAAAGTGATGAAACAATGGCGCATCAATCTTGAATTATAAATGCTTTCTCCTCTTTCTCCCTGCTCCCTTGTTTTTTATGAGGAAATTTATCTCCTTTTTTGTTACGGGGGGTGGAGCTGAAAGAAATCAATTTTTGCATATTGATACCATTTCTCTGGAGCCTATAAAACTGAAGGCGCTCTCCATTTTTGGTTGTTCTTCCTATTTTTTTCCCTACCACCACAGTTTTCTCTCGGAAGATGAAAGGCAAAAAATACCTGGTACTGTATTTCATCCTAATGTTGATTGTCATTTTGGTTAGCGGAACAGTGCTTTTCTGTGTCTACTATCCTCTCGTTTTGGAAGTCAGTCGTTTCAATGCTATTGACTGGCTTGATGAGAAGTTAACCGGAGAATCGGCACCATTCGTAAACAATACCGTAATCGACGATTTTCATATTCTAGCGGTATACTCTGCGATGCATCTTAAAGATTGTCTGAGCCATCCGCTGTTACTGAAATTGATGATCCTGCTCTGTGTCATTCTTTGGACCGTCGGAAACAATATATTTGTCTATTTCCTGTGTATCTGCAAAGTGAGTTCTTTGAAGGTGCCTAATAGAATACTTCTTTTAGGAAAAACTCCCTAAGCGACCATACAATACTCCTCTATATAGAAGCACAGAATATGATGCCGCTTGGACTCCCTACCCAGTGGTTCCTATCCACAAACTTACGGAAGAGTTGTTTTCTTTTTTTAGAGTAACTATGGTAGTACCTAAATTTCCTCCAATAGGAGCCCACCCAAACTATCAACTTTAAGCAAAATTATCTCAAGTCTTGTGCCAGGTTTCAAACATTTGTCAACTGATGAAATATTGGTGATATTGAGATAAATGATTCATCAGTTGATAAGATTTTGATACCTTGCTCCAGAATCGAGATAATTTGGTTCAAATTTGAAGGGTTGGGTGGTATTTTATTAGAGGAAATACGGTATATATTGGAGGAACGGTTTTTTTCTGATTTTACATTTCTGGTTTGAATAAGTTTAATGACTAATGTTTTTGATTATTCATTTTACCAGTTTACGGATACAGTAATCCGTCAGATATCTGATTCGATTTATATTTTCTGTTATTACCCACCCTTCGATTTTTCAGATTATGAAAAGATCCGTACTTCTGCTTCTGGCCATCATTATATTTCTGATATCTTGCTTATTCGGAGGATGGCTAGTCTATGAAGACACCTTCGATCCAATCAGTAACTCTACCTATGTTTTTGATTATCAATGGATTGATAAGCACAGATTAGCGATTCAATACTCTAGTGATGAAGAAAGAGCAAAATACACCACTTTCCAAATCTACAAACTTGTCTTGTATTTTCGAAAAACGGTGCTCTTCAAATATTTTCTCGCGGCGTCTATGCTCTTTTTTCTCACGATTGCTGTCTGTATGATGGGATGTTTCATTTTTCGCCAGGTAGAAGATGTAGCTTGGGTTTCCTGAAAAACTTTTCACTTTTACAGTATCACGTCTAGAAGTATAGGAAATATAAAAAACGTTTACAACGGATCCCAAACTTGTGCAAGAACTGCAGACCAAGCCGACTCATCCGGAATCCTGGACGGCCCACCAACTTCTATTGCCGCTGCCAACAAATCACTCATTTATGAATAAAACTATGTTTTAAATTGGGTCGTCAAGTTTGAACAGACCTCCATAGATTCAGACGGAATTCAATGAAACTTTTTGAAATGTCTCGAAGAATTTCCAAATTCACTTTATTACTTTAGGATCCGAAAATTTATTTTTCTAATCAGCCTGATTGACTACAAAGTTATCAATGGCTTTTATTCCAATCTGTCTGCTCTCTGTCTCGCTCATTTCTCTCTCAGTTTCGACGGTTCTCGAAGCATGAGTCACTAGGTTCGGTCTACTTTCCACTGACTCATCATACCATCACTCTGGATTCTTACAGTATTCCTTTTATTTCTAAGTCGCCTCTCTAGATTGCTAACTGTTAATGATATCACTCTACTCTGGACTGTCTCGCTGACTAATTCTCCTCAATCTCTCTATATTTTGTCTGAGTCAGTAGGCTCCCCCACCCCTATTTTTCACCGTCCCATCCTCAAAATCTCTCTGAATTTTTACAGTATTTCTCTCATTTAGGGGCGGTTCCTCTAGACTGCTAACTATTATTGATATCACTCTGTTTCCGTAATGCTGCATTATTTTCGATCACTTGCCTGGCTAGAACGGCTCCGCTTTCTCTGGCCCATATCGTTGACTGATTCTCCTCAATTTTTGTCTGGATTTTGTCGGATTTTGAAGGAACCTCCTATCTGTTAGGCTCCGCCTACTACTGCACAGCCTACGATAAAGCCCATAATGGGAATTTCGAAGATGAAAAAAAAATCAGGGATGAAAAGTTGGATGGATTTAATTGGAAAGGGATTGTAAAAGAACATGTAAACATAACAGGTGATGATGAAATAAAAATAATTTTGAAGACGGGGTTCTAAAATGAGGGTATCAATTGGGTCATCACATAAATTTTGGGGGTGATCATTACATACATTCATAAAAATAGGGTAAATTATTAATATCAAAAATGGCTCCCAGAGGTCTCCGCGAGTTCTCCCGTCTTCTCCTGGTTTCTCTGTAAAACTGAATTTGCAATACATTTTTAATTTCAAGACTACCTGCTCCAGATTTTCATTATTATCAGCATCGTCTGGTTCGTCATCCCAGTCAAAATACGCGTATTCGCAATCGGATTCAAGCTGATTGGTCTTTCCTATAACATTTCTCATGAAAAGAATATTGATAATCGGACACAGAGCTGTGCAGAAAGTTTAATCAACATACCACATATGGAAGGTCCACTGATTCGATTCCTGCTCCTCTCCATGGTCCTTCTACAGTGTTGAAGCTAGCGATCGATCGATTTTTCTCTTTTCTCTCCAAAGTTCCATAAGGGCTGCTACTCATGGACCGCATAAAATTTTTCTTCTGTGTCGGGAATCCAAATACGTCGTTTTCAATCTCAGCCCATTGTCTTTCCATTTTCTCATCCACTTTCACAACTCCAATTTTTTGAGTTTTTTGTGTTTTCTTCTGAGGTGTCTCCTGAGTTTCCTTTACGGATTTTTTCTGCAGCCTCCGCCATTCATACTCCAACTTCGGTTCAGCATTGTCGGGGATGCATCCAATAATTTCTTCCGGTTTTCCGAGATTCGCGAACTCCATGGTGATGAGCTTTTTTTCCTTCTTGACTGTGACCTTCTCTTCCTTCACAGTGTAGATCACTTTGAGCTCTTCACTTCCATCCATGTCGTTGTACAGTCTGCTATCCACATTTCCAAAGCTTCCCATCTTTTTTAAAGCACGTCTCCGTTGTTCGTGACGTCTTTTCCTTGCCAGATGAGAAGACAGCTTCATGAACTGTAAATCAATCGATTTTTTTAGCATTTTTAAAACTCAACGTACCGTCGTAGTCAGATACCATCCTAGAACAGTGAGTATGGCAGAAAACGTAGCCATGAAGAGAAGAATCAAGACCGCCTTGTTGAGATCGCTCATGTCATCGTTGCTTCTTCGATAACCAACTTTTCCAGACAAATCGTTAGCGATCCAATCTGCTCCCTCGGACGATGTTCGATTGTAAAGATAGGTGATGGTCCAGCCGTCTCGGGTTCCCATGTATTCAACGGTTTCTCCGAATAGAAGAGCAAGAAAGTTTAACTGGGCGCAGTCCATGAGCACACCTGAAAATATATCGTTTTGACATTATTTTTAAATATTACTTTTCTGAAGGTCCCCCCCCCCATGTATATGTTCTATGTTCTAAAACAACCAAAAAGGCAAAACTTACTGTCCAACGTGTCCTCCTTCTGAATCTTGATGGTTGCACAACTCGTTTAACAGCTCCGGAAACGAACCATGCCGTTGACACAATCTGTTTGCTTCCACTCGTCTTCTTTCCATTCCATAGCCTGTCGGAATTTGAACGACTGCATCAAAAATCTTTTTAGGATCTGAAATTTACAGAAAAAGGTTCAAAGAAAATTTCGGATGAAACTCACGAAATTTCCTCCTGCACATGGAGCACATACGCGTGGTGCATCCTTGAACGTTTCCTTTTCGAACTGAGCATCCAAAGCTCCTTTTCGAGGTCCCTTCCAAATCGATGAGACCAGTTCACTGAGAGTTCTGAACTTTGCACTCTCGACGATGAGCCAGCCAGTGAGTCCAATAGCGAGAAGAATCCAGATGAGAAGAGCGATGAGCCGTTTTTTTGGCATGCTGAAAAAAGTTGGGATTAGAGAACTGGAGCACAGATAGATCAGTATGAAGCAAATCCATGGATTTCAAAATTAGGATAATTCTTAAAAATGGAAGGTTTCATTTTGGGATATCGGCGAGGGAGTGGAAAAGTGAAGAGTGTAACCTGAAAAAGAAAATGGGCTTGAAGAGAATCAATAATCACGCAGAACAGAAAACAGTGATAACAACAACGTTTTGGATGGGGTTTCTTAGAAACGAGAGAAATACAGTAAGAATCCAGAGAGATTTAGATAATAAGACAGTGGAGAGAGCCTAGTGACTCATGATTCGTGAACAATCGAAAATGAGAGGAAGAAAAGGAACGAGAGACAGAACATAGGGAGTGAAATCTGAATATTTTGAGCTGATACTAGTAATCAGGGCAAGGATTTCAAAGAAAAAACATCATTAAAGGATCATGAACTCATCCATGGGAAAGAAAAGGGGGAGGCCAGAAGTAAAAGCTATACAGTAAGAATCCAGAGAGACTAGGTAATGAGGTGATAGAAAGAAGCATGAGTCAGTAGGCTCCCTCCTACTTTCCACCATCCCATCATCTAAATCCCTCTGAATTCTGACAGTATTTCTCTCATTTTGGGGCGGCCCCTCCAGATTGCTAACTGTTACTGATATCACTCTGTTTTCGAAAAGCCGCGTGATGATTGATCCCGTGCCTGGCTGGACCGGCTCCTCCCACTCTAGACCGTCTCGTTGACTAATTCTCCCCAAATCTTGCTATATTTTGTCTGATTGGAAGGCGGACCCAATATGTTTCAGAATCCGACCAAAAACATATGTATCGATTTCTCTGCGTCTCCTACTCTCTGAAAGGGCCGCCCCTAAGCCGCAGATATTCATTTTTGTTTCAAATGTGCCCTATGAAACGTGCGCTCCCAGTTTCTGGATGATTTTTTCTTCAATTTTCTAGAAGTTCTCGTTCATTATCTGATCCATTTCTTAGCTCGGGAAAGCATTTTAGGGTCCCACCTAACCTTGATTCCGAATAACTTTAATAGCCTTCTTTATAGGTTATTCTCCCTAATTACCAAAAAAACATGTCATAGGTTTCCACCTTTAAATTTGACTACCACCCTCTAACAGAATGGCACAATCAGAAAAGTAGCCTATCAAATCTATATAATGTATCTTCTCTAGCCCACCCAAACTGACATCTTTGAGCTCATTGATCTCGATTCATTTAAAAAATACAAGAAACCAGTCAGCTGGTAAATTCTTCTCATAATATCACCAATACTTTATCACTTGACAAAGTTTTGATAACTTTCACAGAAATCGAGATGATTGAGCTTTTTATATAACTCTTTGAAATAGAAGACCACCGCCTAACAACCCAATCGATAGAATAAACCCTTTTTTTTTGAAAATTTCTTTCTTCTTATTTAAAAAAGTCTTTCTCTATTAAACTTTAATTTTCAGGATGAGGCGTAAACTGGAATTATTCCCTGTTCTCGCGTTTGTTGGTACCGGATACGTGACCTATTCGATGGTTATGGAGAGTCAGAAGTTCGACACTCTCTACGATTTCGGAGAATATCTCTACGGCAGAGGCTACAACGAAACCGAGAAAGTCTGGAAGATTGTGTCGCCTTGGGTAGCTCACAACGTCAATGAGTTCCTGATCTGGAGCGGCTACAAAAAACGAGACACGATCAAGGAAGTAAAAGATGGCGTAGATTTGAACGCGATCAAGACAACAGTTCTCCCTCCCATAACTCTTCCAACTCCAACGACAACTACTACGAATGCGCCAGGCATGCGGACATGTGCTCAGTGTACGGGCGGAAACTACGTGAGTGCTTTTATTGATTTTCAATAGTATCAAAAAGAGCTTTTTGAGATTTTAGTCTACAGCAAAAATTTTGGTCCCTGAAAAGTTGGTTCAAAAAAAAATTCATCATTAGAAAAAGTTAGGTCCATAAAAATATTTGTTAATAAAACAATTTAGTCCCTAAAAAGTTTTTTACCTTCAAAAACCATTAGGTCCCTGGACAAATTTTAGTCTTTTCAAAAATTTTGATCATTCGAAAAAACTCCAGGCACTAAAAATTTTTATTCAAAACCTTGAAATAATTTTTGGTCCCTAAAAATATTGAGCCATGTACTTTTGATCTTCAGTAAAAGTTTTAAAACTTCAAAAGTTCCTAAATTTATTTTAGATGACGGTAGATCTTTCCAATTATCTTTCAAATATGAGTTCTAAAATTTTCAGCAGAAGTTAATGGCGATTTATGAAACCCATAATTCGCTCCTGAACTTTCTGAAAGTATTTTTAAAGCCATCTCCCTTGTCGCTCTTGATCCTCCAGGCAACGATTTACCTTTACCTGACATTTCCCTGATAATTACACCATTTTTCAATCCCTCCGTTCCCTCTAAAATTTCGGTCCCCCGAATTTCCATCCCAATGTTTTCCCTCTTTTTTTGACGAAAGCCTATCCCATTATGACTCATTTTTTGTTATTGTTCTCAAATCATTCGAACTGTTTGATGTTTGATCATTCAAAATTTCGGGGTCTCCGGAACATTCTTTTTTTAGGCCACACCCTCTTTAAGCACCCTCGTCAACTAATTCTCTTTAAATCTCATGATTTCTAGCTCCTTAGCAGGCGGGAATTCTATGTTCTCAGGCTCACTGTAGCTTTAATTCTTGAAAATAAGAATATCTCACGAGTAGTCGTGTTCCGCCCCGTTATGCGCATGGTCCTTACGAAAGACTAGTACATATATCCAGTCAGAATCCACGTTTTGAATTTAACCCTAAAATTTCAGAATGATCACCGCGAGTTGATGACGGGACCAATCCAATACAAACTGACGACGTGGCGCGAGGACTGGATCGAGACTGATTGCCTTCAGGCAAAAGGTACTTTTCAGTATTGCGAAGGGAGGTGTGTCTTCGTTACCGTATCCAGACATCTGCAAGACCAACAAACTTACCAAGTTGAAGGTACGCCGGAAGATAAGAATTAAACTTTTCACAAATGAATTTCAGGTGTTCTCTCGGATTGTGCTGATGACTTATTCCGCTGGGGAACCGATTTGCCATTCTTCATGAGAGATAAGACGAGTGATATATCATTTCAAACTATAGCAGAAGAACTCTTCGCAGTATCCAAAACAATCTGATTGCCATGTAGAACAATGTTCTTGTCTACTGTATTCTCTGCATAATTTCATGCTTTTCACTCTCCGAATTTCGTTTTCCTTACCTCTTCTGAAAACTTCCAAACCAAGAATCTCAAACTCTCTGTCCCACATGGTTTTCCACATAGTTCTTTTCAAACTGCTTCTCAGTTTCCAAACTTCTCTTTTCTCCCATATCTATTTTTTTTCCTTTGTCCTTATTTTCATGTCACTTTTCTTTACAATCCACATTGTAGTTTCAGTCCACTTGACATCAGATTTTCATTCATTTTCCCCCAATCATAAGCTAGTCATCATCCTTGAAACCTCATCACAAACCGTCTGTTTTCATTTACTTCACCGCATACATTTGAATATGGTTCACAAGCGATTCCTAATAAAATTTCTATTCAAAATAATGTTGTTTTCTGCAAACTTGCTCTGAAATTTCAGAACTCTAACAAAAACACAGGTTTGAAATTACCATAAGTTTATTTGATCGACAAGAGAGGGACAACGAATTGGAATTCACAAGAAAACAGGGGAAGGTGAGAACACGAAAAAAGACATGGAGGGACGACATGGGGTAGAAACCAGTGGCAATGGAAATGATTTGGGGGTAAATCTAGAACAATAATTAAATATAAAAATTGATTTCTAGAATTTCATAGAAAATGATTATTTTCAAGGGGAAATTTTGCTAGATAATATAATATCTTACTGGGGTAATTATTCGAAAATAAAGTTAATGAAATGTGGAGAATATTCTGCTGAAAAATGATAGTGAAGAGTCAATCAAAAGTTTGAAATCAGAAAGAGAAGTGGTGTTCTGGTTAAAAATTCGGAGCTGTGGAAGAAAAATCCTGATGACGGTTGTCCACAACGAAAACTACCGTAATCTGAACGTTTTTTTCCTATTGTTTCTCGTTTTTCACCGATTTCCGTCAAGTTTGTTATTTTTTCTCAGAAAAAGTCGGAAAAGAACAATTTTTGGTAATGAAAAAATTGATGGAAAACGCATGACAGTCAAGAAAAATCCAGAAAATGAAAATATTTTTGGTTACGGTAATTGTCGTTGTGAGACCTTCGGCCTCGACCACCGACGATTCTCTACCATAGCTTGATTTTTTTGTACCGGAACATTATTTCGGGAAGGGAGTCTATCAATGAGAGGGGGATACACGGCGTTTGAGAAGGAATCGTCAATAATAGCGGCCCGGCAAACGTGAGATTACGGGTTCTTTCATTTGGGCGCAATTTCTGAACAGGCCTTATGGAACACAGTGGGAATACTTGAAAAAAAGTAAGGAGAATGTGTCTTGAAATAGTGAGAAATTTGAGAGAGAGGATTTTTAACGGAAGAACGATCTGAGTTTTCCCATCATCGAAGTTTCCTGAGTCTGATTTCGAACAGCGCGTTGAGCTCCCACCGTATTCATCTTCGATTCCTTCATGTTCTTCTTCATGCACACCTCCGGACACATACAATTCTCGATATGGTTTACAACATAGTCCTAACCGTAATCAAAACTAAGATTCTCTCCAGCTTTAATGTTGCAGTTTGCGATGAACACTATGCGCATGTGTCCCGGGCTCACTCCTCCTTGGAAAATGCTGAAAACGCAATGTATACCGAAACCCTTCGACAACTGAAAATCTTACCGCATCATCTCCAGGTTTGGACGACAGCTGTGGCTCAAAAAACGGCCCACGTTTCCATACTTCAGAGGGTTGATGAAAACAACTCTGTCGAAGGCGGTCTGTAAATCGATAATGTTGAATATACCAAAATCTTCGGATTTTGCTTACCGCAAGTGGGCGGAGAAGATTTTTGGCCAGAAAATTAGCAGTCTTCAAAAACTCAATCAACGCTTGGTCTTGGTCGATGAGTTTTAAAGAATATTGCTCGGCATCCGATCCTTTCTCCAGGGCTCTCTTTCCAACTATCTCACCATTGAAAGACATGACGGGGGTTCCTAAATTTCATTATTGATTTGTCAAAATAATTTGTTTTGTCTACCTTTGGCGATATATTTTTTTGTTGAAACACAGAATCCCATTTTCTCTTCCTCACGGTAGACTTCGAACTTTTTGTTATGGTCCTTGTCGATTTCGTCAAGCCCCTTTAGGGAACATTCGGAAGAGCATTGGCATCTAAGAAATAGAAGCTAGATTGCTTGAGGTTATGAATAACTTACTTCGGCCCACAACAAAATTGAATGCGCCAGTACTGGTTTTCATCCAACTTCACGGCTTTTTTGCGGAGCTAAAAGAAATGATTTTAGTGATGGCGACTTTGAAAAACTTACCACAGGCGGGATCTTCAGTTTCTTTTGAAACTGTTTCGATGCAATGGCGCACTCGCAGTCGGGGTTCTCCATACAGCTGACTCCTCACACATTTGTACAAGTATACTTTTGTTTTCTGCTAATGTATTTACGGTATCTCGAAAACTTCTTATATTTTTTCCAGAAAATGTTTTTAAAAGTTCAAGAACTTACGGGGTTCTGATTCCCAAGTTTGATAGCTTCGGTGACAGCTTTGCTCAAATAGGCTCCAAGAACATTCACCACAATGGAGGTGAAGAAGGCAGTTCCTGGGAAGTTGCACAGCAAATTTTTTCCAAAATCTTTCAATCTGGAGAAAAGTGGGAGAGTCTCTCCAGTCACAATCGTTGGCTGCAAAAATTCAATATCAGTATACAGTGTTTTAATTTTTCAAAAGAGACAACAAAATTAAGCTATAATTTTGCGGTTTTTTGGTCTATGGCAATTCGGATGAGTTTTGTGTGTATTTTAGCTTCAAAATTACCAAAATTTTCTGTTTTTTATTCGTCGGTTTTTTCCAAAATCAAATACTTGTAGATTGAGGGTTTTTTCAAATTTTCTATAGGAAACAACATGCTTTTATGGGGACGATAGCCTTCTTTTTCATTGGTTTGGCTCTCGAGACCCGCGGCGGTTGATTTCTGGGGCGGAGCTTCATTTTCGAATTTCTGGTGATGGCCATCTGTAAAAATTGTTTGAAAATAGAGTTTCAAAAAATAAATGATATAAAGAAATAATAGATATCAAAATGTTATGTAACATTTTTCAAAATAAGGAATACAAAGTCAATTCTTTTAAAAACATGTATAGTTATTTTTTTTCTCAATTGAAAAGAAAAACGAATGAAAAACAGATGAAAAACAAGAAAAAGTTTCTGGAAGCAATTGGAAAATACAAAACAAGACTATGTAAATGGAAAAAAAATCAACAAAAAATTACAAGATGATATGATATGTCAAACTTTGAGTATCCGGAAAAAGAGATGTGCGACTGTAAGGGCAGGGCAGAACCCGAGATAAATTTCTTAGAAGTGTACAAAACAAAATATAAAAATTCAATAAACCTATAGCTACTTAAAAAATGATGATTGGAAATAGAGTACAGAGATGTTGGACATGAAAAAAAACTAATGCTGATTCCAGAATCTGGATGTTGTGGTGTAGAGATGACGAAGATAAGAGTGTTGGTGAAGACCGGAGAAGACAGTATGGAAGATGTGTTAGCAGGAGAAAATGGTAGCTGCCCATCCCATAATTCTTCCTAATAAAAAAGTGTACTGAAAAAAATCGTTTCATTATCAAGTCGCATAAATAATTATAGTCACCTGATTAGTTTAATCGCTGTTTACCAACGTCATTAGACCATTCTTCTTGGACTTCTTGGGAATCTGGGGTTTCTTGACGCCTGATGGTCGTTTGCCGAGACGATTTGGTGTCTGTAAGACTGGGTGTCGTACAATATTAAAAGAATGAAACCTTACGTTTGGACAAATGTTTTCTGATTCCGAGCCTCCATTGATATTTTCTGCTGTTGCCATATCAACGTCTTCTTTGTTCTTGCAGATTTCACAAAGACATTGACCCATCAGATAATGAGGACCATAGTCAAAGGTCATTTCTTCACCCTGGTTGATTGCTCTGTTAGCAACGAACACCATGTTCAGATCCAATGGGGACACTCCTCCAGCGCAGACTCTGAAAAAAAGAAATTGAGTGTTTGAAACGTTGAATACGACTCACTTCACAATTGTTAAGTTCGGCTGGCAGCTGTGATTGAAGAATCGGGTGAAATTTCCTCTCTCCAGCGGATCGATAATTATATCCGAGTGGTACGCTTCCTGAAAAAGCGAATTTCACAGTATTTTTGATTGCTATTGTTCTCACCCTCAGATATCGTACATACTCCTTTGATTTCAGCAACTTAGTCACCTGTTTGATGCTATTTTTGTTGGTCGCGGTATATGAATACCGCACATTGATGGTCTCAGCTTTGAGCCCATTCGCAGTCAGTGGTCCACATAACGTTCCCACGAACGTGGCAATGAACTCGCCTGTAACTAGAAAAATTATTAAAAAAGCCAAGACTCACTCAAATGTTTACCTTTCTCAATATGGCGTTTAGCCTCCACTCCGAAACCCACGTCCAGTCTTCTTCTCGTCACCTTGACCTTCTCATTATGGTCCTTCTTGGCTTCCAGGACGCTATTGAGCGAACATCCGGTGCATTTGCATCTGAAATACAATTCTCTACTAATTGAGTTGAAAATATGTGTTTACTTACCCGGATGAGCAAGAAAAATAAAATTTATTTTCGTGGACTCCTTGTGAGAAATCGATCTCGTGGCCAGAAACCTGTAAATTGCAACGTTCTATAAGTACCAAAAACGTCAACAAACCAAAAGGCTCTCGCAATCACCATGGTTCATCCAAACAGCCATCCGACGACATGGGCAATTTGGAATGGTGACGCAATCGTGTTTGCACTTGCAAGTGATCTGAAATGTTTTAAGTTAAAAAATTGATTTAGCCGAAAAGTTGTTTGTGTAAAAGTAGGCGTATATTAAGTTTTTTAAAAAGCGATAAACGTTTAGATGATTTTAACGCAAGGAAAAGGGATTTGTAGAACATCGAAAATGCAAATATACCGTGAACGCTCTAATATGTAGCCCCACCTAATTGAACGCCACCCTCCTATAGAACGTTCTCTGAGCTGTGCTCCGAAGAATAGAATGCCACCCTCCAATCGACTACCACCCCTAATAAAATGCTGCCTCAAAAAATAATACGAGATTCAGAAAATGAATAGTTTGTTGTTTTTTAGAGAGGGCTGAGACATTGTACAGTACGCAAGTAGATGATTTTTTGAATTTTTTATCTCATCGTTCCCCGCTTTTCGTTATTTTTTTCAAAGTATCTTGGGCATCATCAGAACTTTCGCGAAATTTTATTAGATATCGACTAATGAAATGCCACCCTTTGATAGAAAGTTCTCCCAGCTATAAATTAAAAAATAGAACGCCGTGTTATTAGATTATAGTTTTTACGGTACGTACATTTTCACTTATTTTCGACCATAATATACTTACTTCATGCATGTTCCACTTTTTGAAAGCATTGTCAAAGTTACAAATTCTCACCTGATTTTCTGGCTTTGCTCCTAACAAGATTGCTTTATATGCTGACGTATTCATTCCGTGGCCAACAGGGTAGGTGGAGATTGTGTCGTAGAAAGCGGTGCTGGGGAATTTTGACGGTGAGTTCAACGATTGGTCAGGCAGCTCTGACAATGTTGGCACGACTTCTCCTTTTTCAGCAACAGCCTGAAAAAAAGTCACATTACCGGAATGATAAATATAACAAGTTATGGGACCTCTAAAATTCGAAAAATGTTTCACTTACAAGGCGCATTGCTTGTTGTTTCGTCTCCTTCTTCCGTTGTTCGAACTTTGCTCTCTTTTGTGCTTCCAAATGCGCGGTGGTCGTTGCCTGGGCAGTAGTCTGTCTTCTGTTCATAGTTGAAGATCTGAGAAAAAGTGTTTAGAGAAAAGAAGAGCGTTAAGTTAGAGTTAGGTATTTAAATGTTTGATAACATTTTGTAAAAGAAAAAAATAGTGAAAAAAAATTAGGGAAAACTTTTTGATTTTATAGTGAACAGTCGTTAAAGCAAAACCCGTTGGATGAAATTTGAGATGAGAAAGTGAGATGAGAAAGTTGAGATCCCGAATAAAGAATTTGAAAGCGAAGTGGGTCATGGGAAGTTAGAAATTAGGTAACAATTAAAAGTGATAGTGGGAAATTTGAAAATCTAATATTAGGATGAAAGGAAGGGGGAGGGATGAGTAAAAGGAATTCAGTTAAAATTAGATTATTATGAAATTACAAAAAAATTCTAGAAAAAACAAACAATGTAACAACAACTTAGTTAATACAGAAAACAACAAAGAAGAAACTTATGAAAACAAAGAATTTTTAAGAATAGAAGAAACAGGTCCAGGGAGGCTCAATTGGCTTGTTGGTTCTCGATGTTATTCAGGAACTCGCGCAGTTGAGCTTCATAAATGTTTTTGTAAAATTTCAACAGCTGAAATAAACAATATGAAACGTTGTATGTATTTAATAACAACAGTTCTACTGATGAATAAAGTGAAAATAAAACTAACCTGGGCATCAGTGATAAATGGGAACAGTTTCTTGTTCTTGACGCAGCATAGTTCTCCGCACAGACAGACTTTGCGAAACTGTTCCCATATATACTGATCGCTGTAGAACCATGTGACCTCCTGCGTCGGGAATATTGGCATCGTGGCGGTGAAAATGACCCGAGCGTTGGTGGGGCTCACTCCACGCTCATGGACCCTGAAAACAAAATGAATCTATTAGTCTGTTATGATTTCAAAAAAACTTACAAATTCACTTTTGTATTCCCGAGGCAGGAGGACGACGCGAATCTGCCGTTAGAGCTTTTATTTTTTGGATTCAGACTGATGCCAGTCTTCGTAACGGCCTGAAAAATGAACAAAATTAAGCTGTCTTTGTTATTGGAATTTACCTGGAGAGCTTTTTCGTAGTCCGGACTGAGTGCCTTCACTTCTTTAGGTGACTGGCGGTTGTCGTTGAAATAGGCCTTATAAATATTATTGATGTCCTTCACTGTGATGTCAATAATATAATTATCGAGATCAGGAGCAGTATTGGTGCGGCAATACTCTCCTCTCATCTCTGCCACTGGCTCACCTGTAAATAAGTTTGTTGTGACTGATAGATTTTTTGAAAACCCTTGTTTGAACTCAGAATATGAAAATACAGTTCGCGCAAAAAAAGGTATTCTGCTGAATAATTTTGCATTTAAAAAACGATTGCTTGGAAAGTGGTCCTATCTTTATCACTACTAAAGTATTCCTATCCATAAACTAAACAGATTGTCGATTTGATAACAAAACCTCGGAAAATCATTTACCTGGGGCGAAAAATTGTTTCGCGACGAGCGCAAAGCCTTTCGCTGTCTGGTGGTGTAAGACGATTTCAGTGGAATTTGCTGGTGGCTTCGGAAAGGCTTTTTTGCACTGTCCTTTGCAGTTGCAACTGAAAAATGACTCTTTCATGATATTGTCAAATAAGTTTCAAAAAACTTACAATTCGCTGCATCCGTAGTGACGGGAGGACTCTGGGTCATGCTGAAAAAAGAGTATTGTTATTTCTCTTCTCAAATATATGTTTTTTCAATCTTTTAAACTCACGATTGTTCCCATGTAGAAGGCTCTGTCCATAGTTGCACACGGACAATCGATAGTACAGCTATTGCGGCAGTTGCAGTCAAACTGAAAAAAAATGTCATAGAAAGTCAAAAATAATTCGACACACTGCTTGTGAGAATCGATCCAACTTGCGGTGGGCGTCGACCAAAACTCTATCATCTTCATCCACAACATTTTTTTCGATATGTTCATAGAACATTTCATTGGACATTGTTTTGAACGCGTTCTCGATCCCACTATCGACAAACATCCGGGCGTCATCATTTCTGTAACAAATATTCAAATTTTGAAAAAATGTTTTTGTTTGCATACATTTGGACAAGAATCCGAGAATTTCCCGCAACAAGAGTCTGTGAACGAAGGCCGGCCTTGATGATCTCTTCGATTCTGAAAAAATTGAATATGTAAAGGGTGTTCACAAAAAATTACTTAAAATCGGGAAATTGGAAATTACGTTTCCCTGGATATTTCCTAATATTTATTTTTACCTAAAAATGTTGTGTTAAGTGTTTTTGATTGACATTATTCTCATTTTTCTCAATATTCAAAAAATCAGCTTATTCGAATAAAAAAATGAAAGCCAGCGAAAAATTGAAAATTTTCACGCAAAAAGGTATAAGGAGTTTTTCAGGAATCCGGTTTCACGAGGAAAAAAAATCAATTCGATTCAATGGTATCACAAACCGAGTATTGTATTTTTGGATGTGGTATTTCGGCGTGAGACGTATTGGTACAAAGTACAATCTAGCTCATCGCAATTAACCCACGGCCCTGTTTTCGACACTCTTGACGTAATTTCAAAATGTTTCGGTGTTTTGGAGAGATGCATTAGTTATTATATAGTTTAGTTCTAATTTTTTTAGCTGATTTGAATGAAAAAAATTACTTTTTTTCCGCGTTCATCCGTTGTATCAATGTGGAATTTGCAAACGCATTTTCCATACTGCGTTTCGCGAATTTTTCGCAGTATTCCATCCGTCCCATATAGCGACAGGTCCAGTTCTCAATGCGTTTCCTGGCGAGACGAACTGGGCCGTTCATGAGTTCTTTATCTGAAATTTCTATTTATTTATCAACTAGCTTTCTTATCAGAAACTAACCGGTCGGCATCCGAAAAAAGACCTTGTCGCCTGGGAGTGACTTCATTCTCACTTGAAGGGCCTGAAATATGTTCATAAACTGAAAATCGAGGTTATTTCTAAAGTACGCGTTGATGTTTCCAATTTCCCTACAAAGGCAAAGTTATAAAAACAGAAATGAAAATTGAGAAAAGTAATCGGAAAATAGTGCAAAAAAAATACTTGAAGGATTTTCTCACCAAATGATTTTTTAAGGTTTTTCAAATTTTGTGCATTATTTTAGCAAAAAGTTTCTGTGTTGACAAAATGCTTGAAATAAGAGAAATGAATTTTGTTGAATGTAGACATATCATCTCCGTGGAATTGACTAGAAATCTTGGAAAAGTAAAGAAAACTTACGAAGATAGCATAGGCCCATTGAAAAGCGACCGTGGTCGAGACGACCAAGCAGTCCACCGCTCTCCCGGCGATTCGTTTCACTATCGCCGTTCTGTCGAGAGCCTTCTCCTGCTGGAAACAGAAACAAATTTATTTTTGGTACGTTTTATAAGTTATCTTATGAAAATTTTTCAGTGAGTTTAAAGAAAAAACTGGTTCAATGTACGAATACATTCAAAAACAAATAAACTATCAAATTGTTTCTGATTTTTAAAAATACATATATCTTGTTTTTTTTATCCCACTTACGAATTTTCCAAGTTCAATCTGATTCATCAGATTGAACGTTTTGAGGTCCTTTCTCGGAGCAAGCTTGTGGCAGTTGAGCTCGTCCTTCTTCTTGGTCTCTTTTGGTACAGAATATTCTGCTGAATATTTTGTTTTTCTTTCGACCTGAAAATGAAAATCGTCTATTTTCTGCTCAAAATCCTCAGTATTATTTTCAGGTTTTTCTTTAATTCCTATTTCTAAATTCAAAAAAAAAATGAAACGTTACAAAATTTGAGAATTTTGTCAGTTATCCAAAAAAAACGATACTCTCAATTTCGGGGTCTTCTTTTAAAATATATTTCAGAAATAGTTTTGAATATTTTTCCCCGAATAAAAAAATTTTCCCGGAACGTTTTTGCATGAGTTGTTCATATTTTTCTAAACAATAACCATTTATGGAGTCTCTGGCAATTTCAAATAATGTATACTTTTGAAAGCAGTATATTGAAATGCTGTGAATGTTTCAACTTACCTTCTCATCGGCTTCTTCAGCTTGCTCTCCTGGTTTCTTGGCACACCCTCTGACTGGGCGGGAGATCTTCTCAACTTGGCATGGAGAGTTTCTTCTAGTCGCTCTGAAAATTTTGATATATGGATCTTCTGTTGATTGAAATTGGTGTTTCCCACTTGTCAGGTCCCAAAAACTTTCCATCGTTTTATCGGGTTTCAGTTCTAATAAGACATGAAGGGAAACACAGAAAAATGATAACACCAAAAGAATAAAGGCTACATTTTTAGTGATAGAAATTTACAAAGAGGACATAAGAAGACGAATATTAGTGATTCGAATTTTTTTTTGAATCTTTGAATCAGAAACAGAACGGATGTAAGTGATGAAACATGACAAACACATAGTATGATAATGGAATGAATACTACCTGGATTTTTGTCGAATATTTATTCAGTTTTATTACGATTGTTTTTAGTAAAATATAGTTTCCTCAGAAATAGCAAAAAGGTTTTTTGGCCGGTGGTCGAGTTCGGAAACGTGCAGCTCCACTGAGAGTGGCGTGGCATCTTTAATAGTTGGACAACGACTTCCACGGTCTTTTATGTTTAAAATACGACGGGATTTCTGTTGTCCCGTCACCTTTCAGGATAGTTCTTTCTCCAGATGTCGTGAAAGTGGCCCAAGAAACATCCGGAGAAGAGCATGAAAAAAACAGACGTATACTCAAATAGCTGTCATATTTTCTCCCAGCTTTTGTGAATCACAGTTTATCGGTTAATAGATCTCCCACGCCATCTGGCAAGTTGGCTTTGTCGGCGGAGCCGGTTGATTTTTACGCCTTAACAGTCTGAAGAGTTGATATACTGAAGACTATTTTTTATTCTCCATTTATCCCCCTCTCTTCAATTAGTCAGAAGACAAATGCCAATTACTGCCTATACGCTCCTCAGGTCGTATAGATCATAACATTGGCAGGTGTTTGGAGAAAGCAAGGCAGAGGAAGAGTGCAAATCTTAAATCAAGTGTGAGTATTAGATACTGTAGTGAATACACTAGTTTTGGTGACAACGATGAGTAAAGGACAGGAGAGCTATTCCGTAGGATACGAAGGGTAAGTTACCCAAGACGACAAACACACAGATGGACAGGATCCTAATGGGTGAGAGATATTTTGGTAGCAAGAAAATTCCGAGCAAATTCGCAAGAGTAACCAATCTCCAGTTTCGGACTCAACCAGCAAACTACAATTCTAAAGAGTATGATCACGGTAGTGGAGTGCTCGAAAACTGTTACTTGAGTTTTAAACTAAATAGGAGATTCAGTTTCAGACAAGAAAATCGGAAGAGCTACTCCACAACCAGTGACAAGAAAAAAGATGAAAAGGAGTCGTGTGGGTGGCAAAAAAAGAACTTCTACCTCACACAATGCAAACAAAAAAGGACCTACAGAGATGATAAGAGATAGGTGGAAAAGAAAAGAGAATATATGAATGGGCCCTATCTAGTTCATAGATAGAAATGAAAAATTCAATAAAACTTACTTGACCATTTTTGCTTGACGAACTTGACGTTAGTACGACGAGCTTGAAGCAGACAATGACGAGCTTGAAGAGCTTGAAGGCGGCGGCAAACGGCGTGAGTTGAAGGCAAACCTGAATGATGAAAATTGAGGTGAAGGGAGAAGACGATTGCGGAAGGTCGGAAGAGAGAAGACGGAATGAAATGAGGAGGGCGCTGCAGACGCTGCACAATGGCTCGGTTATGGTTGTTGATAGAGAAGTGAAGAAGAGAGGACTGGAGGAGGTGGCGCTGGTGATCTTTTGGGGCTATGCAAATGAGGGATTGTGGCTCCGTCAAGCCCTAGATGGAGGTTGCGGGAGGACTAGCAGAAAGGTTCACTAGAATGGAGGTTACGGTAGATTCTACCGTAGTCTCAACTTTGAAAAGTGTGATTTAAAATAAGTTACTACCAATTCCTTGAAGATAGTCTTGTGGATATATACAAAAAATTTATGTCGTAAAAATTGGTAATAAAACAATTTCCTGCTTGATTCAACTTGTATTAGCCTAAATCTTAAATCAACTTTCTAACTCAATTCTTCAATTTTAATCACCTAATGAACCTACTCTTCCTACTTCCTAACAGTGGCCTATTGACAGGTAAAACCACACACATTCAAAAAAAATAGTCCTCCGAAAAAAGTGTCTTGAGGCGTAGGAAGATGACGGTTTTATGAATGGGAGTGATAGTAGGAAAGCGAGAGGGGACGGGACGAAGGAGTGTGGGGAGAAGGAGGAATGGTACGCGATTGAGAGCGGTGGTGGAAGCGAGGACCGACGGTGCCATCTACGAGAAGGGTAAGCTGTGTGGCATGAAAAACGAGCGGGGAACGAGAGAGAACGCAGGAAGAAGAAAGCGTAATATACTGTTTTGGCTAACTGACGTGGCCTTTACTACAGTTAGATTTTCGGAAAAGCAGGGCAAAAATCTCCACGAGTCTACCATAAACGTTTTAAAGCTACTGGGAATCCGAACGTACAAAAATCTAAAATGTCTGAGCAAGCCTACTGGAAATTAAACGAAACTGATGAAAATTTGTATGGGAGAGTTTAGGAACTGATAGAGATAGGGACCAAGAACTGAATGCAGAACACTTACCTTTCTCAGGAATCTAGAAAATTTAAGATTTCAGCTAAACCTATTTATGATTCTAAGAAATGTCTAAAACTTGACGGCTGACGAGAAAGGATATTCAAACTAGAATTCTACAGTACTCATTGTCTGTATTTTTTGGACGGAGGATAGAAAAGGAGTATTTACGAAGCAATAAATGAAAATAAATGACAACGATATAATGAGAGTGTTAATCGAGTGCGTTGATTCTACAAATGAGGAGGCTCTCCGAAAGAACGGTTCGTCTTCTCTACCTGTACCTCTCGCAATGCGGTTACGTAGCGGGCTTCGTTTCCCAGGTGTGCTTCCCAGGAGGCTTCCCAGGTGTGCCTCAACAGAAAGTCTACATAGATTCCTGAGATAACCATATTCTATTTGGAGTCGTAAACCAATTTTTAGGCACATTTGGAAAGATTACAATTGGCAGATGCGGGAAATGGCATTTTGTCAGAGGAAGAAATCAAAAAAGGGCACTGCCAAAACCGCAAAAAAAATAGATTTTGCATTATTTAGATTGTAGCCATTTGCCTAAAATGATAGTTACTCTAGTTGCTGTAGAATTGAGGAACCTCCATCAAAAATATATTTAATTAAAAAAAATCTACTATGGATAATTTAAAAGTGCTCGGAATCCGAACGTACTAATGTTTCGGCAAAATACTCAAGATTAAACAAAGCTGATGAAAATCTGGGGGAGAAACAAGGAACTGAACCTAGAACTGAATACAGAATATTACGTTTTTCAGAATATCGAAACTTGAAGATCTCAGCCTCATTTATTTATGATTCTAAGAAACGTTTTACAAATATTTGGCTGAAAAAACACAAAGATATTCAAACTAGAATTCTATAGTACTCATTTCTGTATTTTTTGGGGACAGAGGGTGGAGAGGGTAGTATTTACAAAACAACAAATGAAAATAAATGACAACCAATAATGAGAGTGTTATAATGAGAGTGTTAATCGAGTGCATCGGTTCTACAAATGAGGAGGCACGCCAAGTGAACGGTTTGCCTTCTCTTCATGTAACTATCGCAATGCGATTGCGTTTCGCTTCTCGTTTTCCAATAGGTCACCAGATGTGCTTCCCAGAAGGAAACCAATTATAGTAGGGCTATATCGATATTTCGTCTAACCAAAAAGTAAGCTGTCGGAAGAGGAAAACTTGCTATTTGTGTATCAGATTAGATAAAATAATTCAAAGTAAAAAAATACATTCAACTTAAGTATTGGTTAGGACCACAAAAAATTAGGAAAAAAACTGAACTCGAACTTCCAGAAAGGCTCTTTTGGGTAGCACACATAGTTCCATCAATCTATGCTTTCTGTAAACAAATTCTAACGATCGAGGCTAAGGAAAATCTACGTCGAGCTGAACCATATTTGAATTGAAGTCGTAAACTGATTTTTATTGTACATCTGGACATATTACCATTGTCTGATGCGTGAAATGGTATTTTGCCAGAGGACAAAACTAAATATAGGAAATTAGGACATCTCCAAGGCCGAGAATTAGTCTAGATTTGATGATCTAATATTTGAGAGATACCGGGAATCCGAACGTACCAAAGTTTCTACAAGAATGCTTAAGGTTGAACGAAACTGATGAAAACTCAAATGGAAGAATTATGGAACTGAACTAAGAACTGGTCTGAACTGAACTGATGGGAACTGAGATTGGGATCTAGAGCTGAAAATTCTAAAGTTCTAGTTGCCTGTACTTTTTTAGGGACCGAGGATAGAGGGGTAGTAATTTCAAAACAACAAGCGAAAAGGAATGTCAATCATATAATGAGAGTATTAACCGAGTGCGTCAACCGAGATGACTCTCCGAGTAAACGGTTCGCTTTCTCTACATGTAACTCTCGCAATACGGTTGCGTAGTGAGTCCCGCTTGCAAAGAGTTCACCCAAGTCTGCTTCCCAAAAGGAAACCAGCAGATGATCTATATTGATTTCATGGATAATCAAAAAGTGAACTGTCGGAATGGGAAACCTTGCTATTCGTTTATTGGATTAGATAAAGTAATTTCGAGATTCAAGCAAGTTTTTTCGGAATTACTTACAAACATTATCTACAATTCGTAGGTTAAAATAAGAAAAATTTATATTGGGTTGACCCATATCTTAATTAATGTCGTAAACCAATTTTTATTGCACATCTGGACAAGTTACAATTGGCAGATGCGGGAAATGGTATTTCGCCAAAGGAACAAACTGAAGATGGAAAATGAGGATATTGCCACGGCCGATAAGTCGTCTTGACTCCACATAATTTAGGTCATAAACGTTCGTTTGAAACGCTAGCTGCACTTGTTGCTGTAGAAATGTGACCCCAGGTGAATTGAGAGTAAGAAGGAGAGGAAGAGAAATAGAATGTTAGATTTTCTCAGATCTTTCTTTCTAGGTCTTCCTCACAGAAAAGACTATAAACCCTTTTTGCCATTAAATATTTCCGGAGATCACACGAACCTATCGCGAACACACACAACGATTTCTTCAGGCAAAGAGTGATAAATTGCGCCGAAGAAGAGACACACATACTGCTTTGACGCTGCTTATCAGCTATACGAGTTCACATTCTCTATTTGGCAAGGTTACTTTCTCTTTGTTATTGATGATTTTTCTCAGACTATTTTGAGCGATAGAAGATGGAAAAGATATTTGTGTTTTTGTTGTCTGGTGGGATTTTATAGACACAAGAGACAACAGAAAACAACAAAGTCTCCAAAAAAAATAAATTTGCAGTTTTATTCGTAATTCTGAATTTACTTGAATAAATTTAAGATATTGAAACTTTTTGGAAATATGAGAAAATATTACTGTGATCTAATCCCACCAAAAACAATAAACGTAATTTTGAAATGACGGTATCACCGAACTCCTCTATCGTACCAACCTTCAAAGCAATAGTGGCCATTAAATTGACATTGAAATTATGGAATTCTTAAAAGTAATAGAAGACAGATAGGTTCTAAAAGAAAAAGAGACAGATATAACCGACATTGGACCTCTTAGTTGGTTTACAGGGATGATGAAAATGATTCATTTCAAAGGGTTTTTTCGACCTCCCATCAGAAAGAACTAACCTTCTTTGGGAATGTAATGAGATGTTTTAGCGCCCTGACTCTCTGAACACAAATGCTTGAAAGATAAGAGTGCAAGTCAATTAATGAAACGGGGAAAGCAATGCAGGAGCGGAAAAGCTCCTTCCAATATTAGATAGATAAGAAACGAGATGTAGACTGGAAGGTAAAAAAGATACGAATGCAAATCACAAATTAATAAAAATAGGACACACGAGCGGGGGTAAAAAATAGATCATATCAGGGAATACTACAAAATGGAATACAAATTTTAGCTTTGTTTTGTCACATATCACGCAAGTCGCAGATTCAGAGACGCAGTAGAGATTTAACTCGAAAAGAACATAATTTGAATGCAATTTATTGAAAATGATACTTTCTATGTCTACAAATAAGAAAAGTTGAAGTTAGATAAAATTTTAAAAACATGAAGAGGATATAAATTAGTGTCTTAAATGTCAAAGGCTAAGAAAGGGGATATGACATAAATTGTGGGAATTATTTGTCGGCATCAAACTTTGGCACTCCGAGACGAAGAATCGAATTTTCGGGGCGTCTTCCCTATGTTCGGAATGAGTTGTCACGAGAAAAAAGTAACTTACTGTCAGCGGTGCTTCCTTTTGTCTCTAGCGGTTGATCAAACTTAGAACGATTGACTCGAACTATTGACTATCTCCTGAAAAACTAAACAGTTTCAAAATGTTCTTCGTTTTATTAGAAATTTTGCCATTCGAGCGCGAATACGGTGCCCGAAAAATGTATTCATCTTGAATAAAAACAAGAATGAAAAACAAGAATGAAAAACCCTTCTAGACTGCCGGCAGGAGCTTTTTGATGATGCAATCGTTATTTTACCTGCCGGCTGGAACTTTGAAAACAATAGTTCCTGTCGGTAGCATTCTTAACCCTCCGGCAGGAACTTCATTCTTGTCTGAGCTGGTACCAACTTGAAAATGCTCTTTCAATTTTCACTTTGAGTCAATTTGTACCGGTTTCAGTGAGATATATCAAAAGATGTTCAACTGACAGAACGTTCATCAGAATATGAAAAAACAATTTGCTAGTTTGAGAGCGGTAGTGAATGTAATTCTTCTGATCTTACATACATGCCCTAATAAAAATCACACCCAAAACAAATGTTTGAAAATCAATCAAAGTTGCATAACTTGATTAGAAAACACCACAGCACTTTTCATCAAGTGAGCACACCAAATTGAAAACTTTTCAGGAGAGGAGAAACAATTTCATTTGATTGAACAAAATACTGTTTTGAGTAGAAAACATGTCTTTTTACAGTTTCGCAAAGTAGGAAAAACAGAGCCACAGTGAAAAAAAAAACTATAGATCGAACTTAATGTAGAAAATACAATAAATTTTCGAGCCGTCTAATTTTGGTTAATCAGTGATGACTCGATTCAGACCTTTTTTTTAGTTCACTTATGGTTTGAAATTGAACTGCAAATCGTTTGTTCATGTAAATCGGTGCGCGGTTGTTGCGCCAAATCACGAGAGAATCACAAACTTGGTAGGAGTAAGATGTAGTTGATGTATGGGTATCAGCTTGGGATGCCTGATTCAGCCATGATAGTGACACCTGGAAGCTCCCGTGGCCTAACTTTTCATTTATATCCCTAGTGACATTCAATTGACGATCAGGTATATCAGGTTGAAACACATGATCGCTAATTTACTTTTGCTTTATTTTGTTATCTCAATGGGATTTGTCTATGAACACTCCTTGAATTCTTATTCTCTGATGATGATGATATACTTTTCGAGACTTTCTGAGCCTGATATTATTTGTAAGAATGTTATACCCATGAGTATATTAAATAATCGCTTTTTAATCAAAGTGCAACTCACATAAAACTTTTCAAAAATAAAAGTAATCATGCACTTTGTCTGAAAAAATGTTTCCCGGCATCGAAAACTGATGAATATGTTTATCGTCTCTGGAGTTCGACATGACAATTGTAAGATACTTTGGATAGTGAGAATAAATCGAAAGTGATTAGGTCACGGTCCCTATAAGCCTGACGCAGTGTTTTCTCATGAAAGTTTGAGAATATGTTCGACATCTACGTCGTTTGTAAGAAGAGATATGATGATTACCAAGTCGAAACCCAGAAACACGTCATACGTTGATAAAGCGCATTTCTATTGACTTCCACAGATCCGGCAAAAAATCAATGTTAGAAAAATGAAAAAGTGATTCTGCAGATTTTTTACGTCGACGTTTTGCAGATTTTTACGTCGAAGTTTTGCAGATTTTTAACAATGGTCTGGAAAAAATTTAAATTGCAATGAATATGGTGATGTTCCTTTTATGAGTTTTTTTCCTTAAAGTTGATTGATATCATAAAAATCTTGGATATTTGGAGCATCCCACTAGGTGAGATTATAACTTGTAGCATATTAATTTTCAAAATTACTCTTTTTAGCTGCTATAAACTGTTTTTCTCCTCCGTTCATGTCATCATTCGATCCAACGAAAAAAAAAATCATCCCACTGCGAATCTAATCTTGGAAAGGCAAAATCTTCGTAGAAATGCAAACTCCCATTAAAATATGGATTTAATCCTCGCTTTATTGATTTCTTAATATTCTCTCAATGAAAGAAAAAATCCAAATAAATTTCTTTCTTCAAACATTATTTCTTCAGTTATGACTCGCTGTACTTTCTCATATCACAACATAGCTTCGTTGCTAGCCTTTCCAAGGAAAGAGTGATTCATTCCGGAAGAATGTAAAAATAAAGAGAGAAAACTTTTCGCATCGTGGCTAACAATAATTTTCGAGTAAGGACACATTCATATTATGTTGCACATGGTCAGATCTCTTGCAATCACGACAACATGTCTCTCCCTTGTAACTTTGTTTCTCTCACTTCACAATTTTTGCGCGTATCCAAAACACGTGCGCATGAGAAATGCTGCTTCTAATTCACCTTTTTGTATTCTATAAGACTAAACTTTTTCCTCGAGATGTGCTGCGTGATACACAACTTATTATACAATATGAAAATTTGATAACATTATCATTTCTAACACATTAAACGTTTTTCATCTGTACCTTCTTACTGTCAATAGAATCCGAACTCCATATTTGGCTTGTTTTTCGAAATTCTCAGCGGTTCTTTCCACAAAAACTGTACCATATTTCTAGGATCTGGCTCTCAAATTTGCTCAAATGCACTGGCTTATCTCGACAACCATATTCTTCTTGACGGGAGCTTATTGCATCATCTTCCCTGACTTCGAGTTCACTGTCAGCAACATTCTGATCATCATGTGAATGAGTAAGTTCAAACTATAGAAATGCAGTTCCATCTCTTCGCATTTTCCCACGACGCAGCTCTGGCCTTTTTTCAGTTTTTATGGGGTTATTCAGTGAGAAGCAATTCAGCAAATTGCTGGTTTTTTCCTTATGCAGAAAGCAGAAAAACCAGCAATTTTGCTGGGGCCACGGAAGCGTGATTGCTGGAGTTTTCTAGGCCATGTGAACTCGTCCTCCTCCTCGTGGAGTACACGACAAGAACATTTCCTCGTAGGTTTCATCTGAATCCCCGGGTAACATATGGAGTGGTTCCCTTGTCAGTTCTTTCTTCTTTCTGTACCCTTTTCCCTCGACTAGACTGTACCCTCCATATCCTCCCCCCTCGTTTTCTCTGCGTCTCGTCTCTCTAGCCACACAATTCCGGAAAAGGAAAACCTCTGGTCTCGCCACGAAAACCAAAATCAATCAAGGGACCTTTTTGACACTCCTCATTTGTTGCGCGCGCAATTTACCTCACTTTTCTTTTAGATTGCGGCGCATTCTCGCTTCGGTTGTTACTCGTAACTGTTCTTATTTCTCTCTGTCATCGGAAAATATTTTATCACTTTTCAAATTCGAACTTTCAGGCGAATAATGAGCTCGCCAAGCCAATCATCATCCGCTCCATCGCCTCCCAAAAGCCAGAGAAAGTCGCGGAGCGACGATAATAATCCCCAGAGTGAGTTTTAGAAAAGCATTTCTATAGCAACATTCAAAATGTGTAAGATTTCGCAAAACTTTTTGCAAAGCGAAAAAGTTAAACTTTTATAAATGCTTCAACAAGGTTAAAAATATTTCAGATCCCATCTCAGACGAGGAGTCACTGCAAGTAAACCTCAACAGCTCCCCTGCTTGCTCACCGGCTCGTCGTGCATTGTCCATTGACCTAATGAAGAGCCCTGTTGGCACAAAAATGACCGATCTTTCCCGTACCCCTCCACCGGTTCATAAGAAGAAGGCGCATCGTGGAGGTCAGTTGAACTTGTTTTTTCAAAATTAATTTTTTGAGTTTACAGGTCATGGAATAGATCTGCGTCAGAGATCAAGCTCGTATGATATTCACTCCAGTTCATCGAATCCTCATCACTCTCCTATTCGTCATGCATCACTTCCAGTTTTGAATTTGGACGATGGGATTGGAAACTTTGGACGCATGACCATTCACACTCCTGCGCCACCAGTTCGCCGAGCTCCGAAACGCAAGACGATGGACATCAATGAAGGAGCCACATCTTCAACTGCTTCTGATATTCCCCTTGTCAAGATGCAACGCACAGATTTTGCCACGTCCGGGACTAGTGGCCAAGGATCGGCAATTACTTCTGCGAGCCGCAGAGTTTCCCGTCCGCGTCGAGGTTAGTTTCTATATCACACTCTTAGATTTTAAGTTTATGAATCTGAAATAAAACTTGTATCTGGCTATGTCTAGATACACAGCGGAAACATGTGCTCAACAAATCAGCAAAATAGAGTTTTCTTCATAACTTTTTTTGACTTTTCAGTTCTACATCGCCGTTCACTGTTCAGTCCAAAGCCAGCGTCCACCTCTGAGAAAGCAGCTATTCCTTCTGGACAATCGAAAAACGACGTCCCGTCCGGTTCTTCCAACATCCCAAAAACTGCAGAGAGCTCGCCGGAGAAGATGGACGAATAGCTGAAAGCCGAACCGATCACTATTTCCCAATTTTTATTCATTTTTAGCTTTAAAAGCTTTGTTACATTTTTTCACTGTTACCGAGTCACCCGATAATGGGATTTTTTCAAGAGTTTTAAATTTCCAACCCGATTTTCGGCCGTTCGTTTCCGTTGTTACCATTTTCGGTGTTATTTACTAGAGTTCCCCAATGATCAACAATTTCCAAGAGACTATTTTTTTGTAAATCTTGATTCTGCACCCATGAACTTTTTTTGTCGGTCATTGAGCCTTCTTTCATTTAAGTGCACCCCAGTTTTGTTATATGCTCAGAACTCGGTTTACGAAATAAACTGTTATGGGGAAAATGTGTCTTTCGATTTTTTTTTCAGGTTTAGATTATTATCGAAAACAATCGGAGTATATCAAAAACTGAGTACAAACACGAATTCAAACCGGATATAATATCTAACAAAGACGGTAATCAGCGGAAAACTTCGAATTAAGTTTTATGTTATTCGAGTTTGTGAGGTTAACTAAAAAGAAACATTTAAAACTTAATCAATGAAAAGAATTGCTCAAATTTGGTTACAACATGAAAAAATACAGAAAGCACGAGCTTTTTATTACAGATTTATTAGGTTGGAGGGAAAGCAACTGTCCATTTTTTTTAAATTCGCGAAAAACGCAAAAACAAGAATTATCCAAGATTGACAGCATGCACCCTTGTGGTCCACGACATGTTGACAACATACAGGTAACTTGTGGATACCATCCCTCCAAAAGCCAGCTGACCGCAAATCAAAGTATTCCTAAAGTGCCGTTTTTATTTCATCGACAGTGTTAAATTAATTGTCTTCCAGATGACGTTGCATATCTTCAAATAACTAATAATGAAAGGGTACAAACTGAAGTTTAAAAAACGTGAGGAGCCGTCCATCTAAAGCGGCGTAGGACTGAATTGACTCTCCTTAAATAACACGAGATCCTATGCTCCGCGGAAAGTCAAGAAAGACCTGGTCGGTTCTTCTTCACGCCCCAAACTCTTGATTTGACCCTTTCGTTATTGATTATTAGGAGATACGCAACGTCACCTGGAGAGAAATAATTCAACACTGTAGATGAGATAAAGTCTGGACTGAAAAAAAATTATTTGACTCGCGGACGGACGGACGGACGGTATCCACAAGTTACCTGAATGTTGTCAGCATGTCGTGGCATACTGTCGATCTTGGATAAATGTTGTTTTTGCGTCATTCACGGATTAAAAAATGGACAGTTAATAGTTTCAAGAATGGTTCTTAAAGTATTTCCTTTTCTGTAATGATTTGATTGCTGCAAATTGCCACGAGAAGTATGAGCATTTTTTAAATGTTTTGTTTCCTATTGTCTTTATTTATGTCCTAACTAATTTAAGTCCGATTCCTTATTTGACTTTTTTCTTTCTCTAATCGTTTCCAAAGGTTTTTTGAAGACGTGGCTTCCTGAAAAAGAAAGTGGATATGCAAAAAAAAACTCTGTGGAGGTGGATGGAAGCTCTCGGGAGTGAACAGAAACGAGATAATTGTTGGTGTGGTTCATCTCTTGCAATTCCAGCATCACCGCCGCGGTTGGTCGCACACTCCATCAATTTCTCGTCCTCTTTTCAACCACGCATCCAAAAAAGAACCGCCGTTTCCACCATCTTCAGTGAGACGTCATCAGTGTTTGGAAAATGGGATCTCCAATTGTTTTATTCGGTTTGGCGGATTATGTGAGACAGGTACTAACTATGGGAAAAAGGTCATTGTAGTAGTGGGTGAGAAAACAGAAAAAAAAACAAATACCAACGTCTCGAGATTTTATTTTTGTGGAACAGCAATTCGTTTTATGTAAGCGATATCCTTTTTTTCTATTTTTTAAAGATTTGTATAGTTTTTTTACAAACGTTTCCGAAAAAAAGTTATTCTTCACCTCTGAATCCATCTATCAAGAATACCACCTAATGACCGTTCGCAAAACAAAGTTTCCAACATTCTTGGTTTTCAGCTTTTCGATTATTTCTTGTCCTCCCGTAAACAATTTTGAAAGCCTAAAACTATTTCAATCACAAGATACTACGCCAACGCATAGTATTGTTACCAACACAAAATTCTTTTTGTCATAGTTCATCAAAAATCGAAGTCTGGAAACCAAGTTTCATTGTGATTTTTTCTTTTAAAACTAACAATTTCAAATTTTTTTCAGCCATCGAGAATGTCAAAGCTAGAAATCGCAGCTATTGAACCACTCATGGACAGTAATAAGGTAAGATATAAACAAACTTGTGGATTGAAATCAATCATTTTCAGAAAAAGCTAGAGGATATGAAAGATTTTGCGGAAATGGTCCAAACGTTCTCAGTGAGTTCTCGAAGTTTAAACCAACGTGAATAAATATTTTGCATGATACCAAAGCTTTCAAAATTTGACAAATTTTCAAAGGAGTTGATAAACGTGTACGCAATAGTGTAATACTGCGATTTTAGGAAATTAGAAAACGCGCCATTTAAAGAATTTTCTGTATATTTTTCTGTATAAATGTGTAGAATTTTCTGTATAAATGTATAGAATTTTTTTTTTTTTCTGTATAGAATTTTCTGTATAAATGCTCTGATAGAAGCCCAACGTGATTACTTTGAGCTCAATCATCTCGATTTCTGTGTGACATATCAGAAATCTGTCAACTGATAAAGTGTTTAGCCTGCTAATAAAAACATTTTATTAGTTCAAACAGTTTTGATATCCATTATAAGAACCGAAAAAATTGAGTTCAAAGTGCATGTACAGGGTGCGCCTGTTAGAGCATTTACGGTATAATATAAAATATGAGCACTATCGATGTAATTTTTCTATCAGGAGAAAATTGGTGGATCTGCCGGAGCACAACGCCTGGATCCGATTGTGCTGTTTGTGAAAAACTATCTTCGCTATTATTCTCTTGAACTTCTTGATCAAGTCAGCTCAGTGCAATTCAAGAATTCTCAAGTGTTCTTCGAGGTTAGTTACGGTTATTAAATGATGGTTACAGTAAATGATCTAATAGAACGCTGCCAATGCTGAGCGAAACACGATTTTTTTAATGTTTTGGATTTTTGGCTTCTGGGCCTAAAAAATTGAGAAAGTAGAATTTTCGGTTTGGGTTCCAAAAAAAAATCCGGAACATCACTTTTTCCCATACTTGCTCAACCTCCTGGCCGAAACTCCAAAGAATACCAATTTTTTTGTCCATCTTGGATAATTACGATTTTGAAGTTTTGGAGCACACGAGTTGCCTATTAAAGCTGGAAGACAGAAATTTTCGATAAAATATTTGCAAAAAATTTCTCTCAAAAAATGTCTTTCAAAAATTTCTCCCAGGACAGGGCCGCAAAATGTATGCTGTTTTGTGAAATTTCGACAAAACAGTTTTTGAAAAACCATTTCTCATCTACTTGAAACACATCTTTTCAGAAGAACATGAGCGGTCTTACCAAGAAATTCGAAAAGCTCAACAATGCCTATACTTCAGTTTTTGATGAAGAACAAAGTGAGCACTAATTGTACTATTTCATCATAACATTTATCAATTATTTTATTCCAGTTGCCAATTACGCCATCGCCGCTCTCCAAGACATTTTGGGTGAGGCCCACGACTTCTGAAAATCTTGACAACTTCTCAACAAGATCACAGTGTATATACCCGGGGTTTTTTCATCAATTCCATTTGTACGTTCAATATAAATTCAACTACTAGTATGATTTTGTTTAATTGTTTCATGTAAAAAATTAAGTAATAAACGAATTGTATAAAAGTGTTGACTAAAAATCAAAAAATGACACTAATCAAAGTAGAGCATTATGTGTCAGTGAATAAATAAAAAGATGATCTGGGGAAAATGGATACCTACTGGAAAAAAAGTTGGGTTATGGCAAATGCCCAACACATAAAACTGTGGAAAAAACATCAAAACGTGTCCCGAATTGGTAATACAATGAGTGAAATTCAAGATTAAGAGACAGAGTGGGGAGCGAGCAAGAGATCTATTTTGTTGAAAGTGCAGTTGTATTATACAGTTAATGTGAGACGATTTTCAAAGAGATATTCGAATAAGTTCTAAGCCAAGGCAATTGTAAGAATGATCATGAAAGCTGCGGCAAGTGTGGCTTTTCCTCCATTAACCCTATCGGCTCGCTGGCGGCTCAACGCAAGCGTATGCCACTTTTCGCGGTTGTACGGCACCTCGGCGCTGTCAGCAATGTCCTCGGGAAGCTCGTCAACAATGAAGATTCGGCCTCCCATATTGAAGTTGTTTCCGCTCTGAAATGAGGTCCATCATGTTTATATCTGCGCAATTCTTGCGAACATACGTTGTAATAAAGAACAGATGGGGTAGTCTCATTTGGAGTGAACGCAAAGGAGTGGACATCTTCCGGCCATCCATCACAGTCCAAATATGCATCCGGTTCGTTAGCGGCCTTATCTTAAAATTACTTTTTTTTAGAATTGTTCAACTAATTTTCTTCCAGTTACCTTTGTTTTGGATCCAAATGCACAGTGGTCCGGTTTGGCTTTCCACTGGTTCCGGAGAGTAAACAGTCACTTTTTCAACCTCATTCTGCGAGAGTTCAAGATATCCTCCTTCATCGTCATCTCCAATGTACAATGGGTTGTAGAACTCTGGGATAATCTTTTCACGTCCTCCCTCGACGCTGGAAAAGTATGAATTACAGTAGGAACATTTAGAATTGTTAGTCTTACTTGAAATTGTAAGTGACATTTCTGACAAGATAAAGGTCCGGAGACATCACGCTGTTCACGTGCCAAACATACTTTGGAGAGCGTAGGTTTCCCTGCAAAAAAATAAGATAGATACCAAAATTGCTATCAGTTTATCAGTGCGGTTGGTCATCAACTACGTACGTTGTAATTCTTGATGTGTTCGATGTCCCCGAGTTGGAAAGTGAAGTTTCTTCTTTCGGCGGATCCTTTCAAAACTCCGCGTGTCATTGGTTTCTCATCGGAATTCTGTAAAAAATGATTTCATTTTAAAAGTCCTCAATCACATGTGTTTCCAGCTGACTCACTTTTTTGAATGACGGCACGTAAGGTGGGAGGTTAGCCAATGTGTCGTCGGTCGGAACCAGCACTGACCCAAAATTGACCCGGTACTTGTAGCAATAAACTGAGATCCAGTCAATGTGGAAGATGTCATAGTTTTCGGGAAGTTCGAGAATGATATCCTTTCCTCCGCGGTAGTTTTCACTGATTTCACTTATCCTGAAAGAAACATGGATGAGATTGAAATAAAAATAAAACTTACGATAGGCCTAGGAAGAATAAAATTACTATCCGCTCTAGAATAGAGTCTTTAACCCGAATTTTGTGTTCTCCGATATTGAGAATCATTTCTGATGTAGAAGAACACGGAATACTATATGATACTATACTAGTAATTGAATAGGAACGCGGTAGCGCCTGGTCTAATCGCCAGAACCAGCAGATGGGATGATTTTCTTATCATCAGATGAGAGCGGGAAAAAAGAGTGAAATAACATCAAACAGATTTTGCTGAGAGAGGTGAAAATTACTCTCTGTCTCATTGTCTCCGTCTCAATTTTTTAGCAGGGTCACTGTGTGTGTAATCAGGTACGAGGTCATCTTTCTCACTCTCTCAAACACTCTTTTCCTACTGGCTCGCCCGCCGGTTCAAGAAACACTCTTCGCAACATTTTGGTGGCGTGGTCTTCCCCCTTCAAAAAAGCAAAGAACACACTTACTCTTTCTCGTCTTTTCCACGAATCGCAACTTTAACGCCCAAACTGTAGGAGACTGATGCACCGCGGCCAACGTAGAAATAGGTTTCTGCAAGAGTTGGCACGTTCGATTTATGATAATTTTTGTTTTTTGCTGATTCAACAGTAAAACAAATAGGGAAGTGAAATACGTTATGGCAGAATTTTGATGTCTTTCGGGACAATTGATAACATAATGCACTAGGATCATAACAAGTCTGACTTAGTAACTTTCTGTTTTTGTTAAAAGTTATAACTTTGTTGATTTTTGATGTTACGTACTTGGAGCTTTGTTTCCTTCGAATGTGAATCCGTAGACCTTGATGGTTCTGCGATCGATCACGTAGAGAGGTCCAGATCTCAACTTGTAACGTTTTCCGGTGAATTCGGAGTTAAGAGCCACGGATTTTGGAATTTTCACGTTTTCAGGTAAGACCAAAGATCCGAAGTTTTTCTGGAAAATTATCACATGCGAAACAATCATATGATAGGAAGTGTCAATTTTCGAAAAACAGGAAACTATCAATCTGAAACTAGTGACACAAACTCACGTCTGATTTGAAGGAGTAGATGGAGAACGACTTGAACTCATCAATTCTATGTTTCTCAGGAACATGCACTACAACACGATCATTCTCCTCTGAGAAAGGTCCGAGCGGTGTGATACCGTACTCATAAGTGTGTGCCTTAATTCCATCCTTAGTCGGTGACTCTTTGTCGTCCAACCAGAAATAGAGGTCCTGCTGAGTTGGTGTGAAAGTGAGGTTGAAGATTTGCAGAGTCGTCGCGTTCACAATGAACACTTGCCCGGCAATGTCGGTTTCTGGGCTCGAGAGGTCACCGATATAGACACCGTAGTCTGGATTGTACGTGTTGATTTCGTAGGAGAGCACTATCCCGAAGGACAACAGCAATGTCTGGACCACCAACGATAACATTTCTGGCGGTTCTGAAAATTTTGAAAACCGTTGAAGAATCATAATGGTTAGTCTAGACATTGATAGGAAGAATAGCGAGTTGATTCAGATGAAAGAGATATAGTGGAAAAATAGTTCTTGCGCAAAAACTCCCAGCCATCTGTCACCTCTTATGCAATTTCGAAACAATTTTCTATTCAACATGACGTATTTTTTTGTCAAGTTGCGAATCGTCTAAAACTAGCCAATCCGACTTAGCGCCGGATGATTGGTCGACTTTTGGAGAAACAGTAATTACTTTTTTTTGTTTGTATGGGCAATCAATGAGACGTTTTGGTTGGAAGAAGAGGGATAAAGATGGCGGAAAAGGGGGGAGGAGAGAATGATTTCAAAAGTGATTCATTGTTCGAGTGATGAGCAAAGAGGGAAGGAAGGGACAATTGAATTCATAATTTTTGATGAAAGAGAATGAAGCGCGAATGGAAGAGTGAATAAGATGAAGAAGAAGAACGGAGAGACGAAAATGGAGGCGGAGCATTCAATTCATCACTTTTGCGTCGAGATGTATATCTCGAGTGGTTGGACCATCAAGATGGACAGTCGAAGAGGAGACAGGCGAAGAGCAATATTTACAACAGCAGATTGCACAACGAATTACATTTACGAATAAATTGATCTGTCATCGGATAACAGGCGTTTTGCGCGAAATTTTAGGAAAGAGGGAGAAGACTAAGTCTTGGAACGATAGAAGCTTAATCCGATTGAAAATTTGGGAAATACGAGAAGATCAGAAAATCTAGTGAAAATGGAAATGACAAGACGCTTGTCTAAAGAAGAACGGGAAACGCGTGAGAATATAAAAGTTCCTGGAAAACCGGTGGATATAGGAGACGATAGACAAAGTAACAGATGGGGACGACCCAGTATATAAAAGAACATGTTGGTAAACGCTGGTAAATGACCCCTTGCCCCGAGAATCATTAGATTATAGCGAGCCAGGAAAAACAAAGGAGCACTGAGGGGGAGGGGTGTACAGTCTCCGGGGACTAAAGAAAAACGGTGTGTTTGGTTCTGACTGTTCAACTCGTATGTTAATGAAAGATGCAATAATAATCATAATGCAGGACGAAGGCAGATGCTTATACAGATGCACGGGTCGAAGAAATGAGGAAAGGAGTCAAACGGATAAAGGGGCGGAGCCTACCCCGAATACATATGGACCATCTTCTCTCGCACGTGTTTGTTGACATTAGACACCGTGAAACTCTGCAAGAACTGTTGTATAAGAGAGAACAAGAGGATTAGAGTCTTGTCGGGGCGAGAAGATGGTCCACCGATTCTATCTGCAGCTGCTGGAGATAGACTCAAGAAAGGCCGACGTTGTCTTGGAACTTGATATTCTGTTTATGGAGGGGCGTCGGACTGATGGGACATGTGGTGGCGTCAGTCGTAAAACAGAGGGCGGAGACCCGAGAACTTCTATGTCGGAATCCGACGCGGTAAATGTGATCGGTTGATGGACTTAGGAGCCATAAATCATTGATGGGTTTATGGTCTCAACACCTCGGCCCGACAAATTGAAAGGAGAGGCTATAAAATTTAGGGTCGGGCTGTAAATTAAGCGTAACTCGATATTTGACAATTTGGGATGAGCAGCTGGAAATAAGATAGATTTCTGTTTAGATAAAATAGAACAAAGAAAGTAAGCCCGACGATTGAACTTGATCTCGATCACAAGAATCGTAGATCGTTTACCACTTGAAAATTGTGACATGAAAGTAGAGCATTAATCTTTATAAAAACCAAGTAAAACCAAAAAAACCGAGTACGACCTTGTAGGAAAACAAACACAATCGTTCTCAAATCGCAACAACTTTGTATCCAAAGTTTCACAAAAGGACATGTTGTCGTGGACAACATGTGTTCGAATTTTATAAGTGGTGGACCAACCGCACCAATCACTACCGGAACTTCCTCCCGCTGGTCCTTAGAACACGATGAAATTTAGCTAATTTGCATAAGTCACCTCATTGTGAGCCCCACCAAGTGCGCATAGGGTTATAAGCGTTCTGTTTGTGCTTAACCTCTTCCTACACCTCATCTTTTGAACAGAAGATTGGTCTCTTGATAGCAGAAGCACACCTGCTAAGTGTTGTGTAACAAAATCGTCTAGGACTACTTACTCCCTTTAATGGAACAATAGAAAAAACCAAACATGAGAAAAGTGAGAAAAGGTTTGTGTAAACATTGGGTTAGGCTTTCAAGCAAACATCCATGTGCCATCAAAGGATGCTTCCCTTTTGAAAGCGCCCTCCTGAAATAGCGCGAACCCACTAATTAGGAGCTACCTGAGCGGAAACTGGGACACACACTACCGCACGTTTTGGCACCAACACCATACAACATTTATTGCTTATGACTGAAGGAGAAATCTTCAATTAACGCTGTGTCAAGAGTTGTCCATTAGAAGGGATATTGGAAAGAAGTAGAAATTTAATTATGTCAGGATTTAGAGACACTTTTCTTTTAGAGTTGGTGCCAGCGGGTAACACAAGAAGAGTCGCGCATTTTTGGAATGAATGGTACTCGAGAAATAGGGGAGAGAGACTACGTCAAGTGGAGTACATATGTTTTGCCAATATTAAAAGTGTTCGGGTCAATACGATACTTTACCTAGTTATAGAAATATGATGGTCCTGGGTTTTGAACTTTCAAAAAACGCGTTTGTTTTATTAACAAATGAAACCTCCGTTCAGTGAGTTATCGTAAACACTCTAATAGATTTCCCCTGAACCGTCAACTTTGAGCTCAAATATATCTGTTCCTGTGAAAGATATTGACAAGTTTCCAACTGACAAATCGTTCATCATAATATAAAAATATTGTATCAGTTTATCATTTTTGATACTTTTCACAGGAACCGAGATATATTGACTAAAAATTGACAGCTTTACAGGGAACATTCTATTAGAATTTTCAGTTTTTTCACGTCTTCGAAATACGAAGTCGTTCAAAAATGTCTCACCCAGAAATCAAGTCACGTCAAATTTCACACCAATTTTCAACTCATAAAAACACTATACAATTCAAATACACTCGAAATCACTCTACTTTTCAAAATTATCTACTCTGGCTGTCAATCAAAATCTGAGTGCTAGTGATTTTATGGGAAAAAACTTTTCCCACAAAATGTAGGTAATTTTTTTTTCCGAGACTGGGTCAAAAAAGGCATTGAACTGGGGCGCCAGCCAAGCCACTAAAATTGGTGAATATGCAGCGCATAAAATGCAACGCGTTCTAGAAGATCCAACTGTCGCCTGTCAATCGAAACAACATGCAAATGTGGCCATTTGACTTCAACTGATACAGAATGACTTGTAACACCCCGAAAATTCAGGGAGAAGAATTTGGAGACGACTAGACAAAGCGTTGATTAGGGCGGAAGGAAGGAGTCATGTTTCAGACATACGTTTTGGGGCCAGAGGAAGGGGTAAGCTGGCTGGTTGAGTTAATTGGAAACCGTGTTCCAATTATCGAACAAGTTGACGCCCTGAATAACAAGGAAAAAGAAGACGGGGATGAAACAGACAGTACATATAGCTTGAAGTCGTTAGGGGGTTTTGGAGTAAATGCAAACAATCCAGTCATACGATGTGTACCAATATATCTTCTCGGCTTCTGGTACTTTTTCCTGCCAGCCTGCTTCCTCTATAGTCTCTACCTATTCAAATTAAACCTTCCTACCACCCATTGGGGTCCATTGTTCTTGGCATACGTGTTTGACAGGCCTTAAGCAAGCACTTGACGCCGCCAGGAATACTATTGTTTAGGTTGCGTTGTTTATGCCGTTTGGCCCCTCATCTGCAACCTCCATAAGAATTGTCACCGTTTTGATTTTTGCTAATTTGAAATCTTGAAACCAAGAAAGGGCACACAGTATAGACACGCACGTATAAGGAGGTGCGAAGAGAAGTCAAAATGCGTGAAGGTCATGCCAGAGATTGCATTCTTTGATTTGATGGAGTAGCAAAAAAAGTTGTTCGTGAAGACAGAAAGAGAGAATAACTTTCTGGCAAATGGAGTTTTTTCGGTGAAGACAGTTTAGCAAAGAAATCGGATAGCCTTGAAATTGCAAAAAAAACTTGGATAGGAGGATGGTTTAGCACACAAGGACAGGATGAGTAACACGTACTGAACATCCTAATTTTTCCATTTCTAGGAAAATGAAACATAGATTCTTTTTATAAAAAATGAAGAATTCTTGAATTCATAATTTTTTGAAATTTTCTGTTTTTTCCAAACAAAAAAACGGTGAAAAATTCGAAAAAAAATGCGAAGCGAAATTTTGAATTCAAAGAATTCCAAGATTTCTGAAAAACAAAAAAGTACAGTACGTCAAAAATATATTGTAAGGAGTAGAAATCTTGAATTACAATTTTGAAAATTCAGAGTTCTGAAAAGAAAATTTTCGAAACAAGAAATAATTAATTGATCGGATTTTTGATTTAGAAAAGTTGAAAGCTTCAATGATTTCAAATTTAAAGAAAATTATTTTTCTCTCTACATATAACCAGACAATTTTCAGAGCCACAAACAGTAGTAAACGTCAGTTTTCTGACACACCCATTGTCTCTCAAAACCAAAAAGTTCAAATTCCAACTGAAAACACAAAAAACGAGACACAAATTTTTCATCGTCCGACATCGACTTACTAAACGATGCGAACGCCTGATAATCCAGAATGACTCAAGGACAAGAACAAGTGAGAAAACCAGAAAGCTGTGGTGACCTATAAATTGGCATTTTGTCGGACTATTTAGTCACTTAGTGACTCATCATCAACGCCTTGTCCTTGGAAAAGGAGGCGCACGGGAAGAGTCAAAAGCAAGAATGATTGGTAGGATTTTGTGGGATCGCAAGGATCGCAACAAAAAGAAATGGAAAGGATCTGATTTGTAATTAAACGTGTGAGAAAACCGAAATGACAACGTCGCTTCTTCCTCATTTTCCACTTTCATTAGTTCTGGATTTGGTTTTGAAAGTAAGATTTTGAAGGGGAGAGGCAGAAAAGCCAGAAACCGATCATTTTGTATTGACGGCGGCGTCGAACGGACGGGAGAGAAGAGCGGCTATGACAAAACACTGTTTGAACTGGACACATATCGATCAGTGAGGGGCCGAAAAGGATTAAAACGAGCGGAAAATTGGCGAAAATGGTTCTTTATGTATATTCTTCGTTCGTTCGTCGCTTTTTCCTCTAGTTTTTCCGCGCACTATCCCTCATCCGTCATTTCACTCTTCGATTTGCCGTGATGCCTTTTCAATGCCTGTTGATTTTCAAAAGAAACTGTTTCCAAAATGGCTGGATGTGAAGTGGATGATGGAATTGAGATGGGATTGGAAAAGCAGATGAGAATGCCTTTTTGATACGGGACATTGGTCATGAAAGGATCGGACGGCTCGTTTTGATACATTTACAGGAAAATTGGAAGAGGAAAAATATTTTTTTTTCCTAAATTGTCAAGACCCGGCCCAGTTTTCATTAATTTTTTCTTATTTTTTGAGCAACGTTTCGGGTACAACAAACAAAATGAAAGAAAATAAGACAACAATTTTTATAATATAAAAAATCCGGAAAACGGAGTATCCTTAAAAACAATTTATTCCCAAAAAAATTAGAAATATTTCAGGAATTTCAAAAATGTTTTCAAAAATGTTACAGTTTTTTAGACATGAACAGTATAATTATTTGAAAACACAGAATTTCTACCGAGAAAACAATGAGCAACAATTTTGATGATTCAGAGTTTCGAGTTTCACTTCACTACTTGAAAAATTATTTTTGCTGAATATTAAATTTTTTACTAATTTTAAGTTTTTCTGACTAATTTTAAGTTTTTGCTAAAAATTAGACAAAATTAAAATAAAGCAATAATGTTCTCAACCATTCAGCGACAAAAAAGAATTTCCCGACAAAAAAAGGTTTCACTATCTCGAACATCAATAATTTCTGGATGAAAAGGTTTTTTCGAAAATAAAACTTCATATGAAAGTCAATTAATTCGATTAACTGATCGGGCGACTTTTCGGGAACAAAATCGGAAAAAATGAACGTCCAATGAGAATAATGGGACAAAAACTTCATTGAAACGTGTGACGTTGTCGCTAGTTTGTCGGTAACGATGGAAAAGGCAAAAAAAGAAAGGAAGGAGAAGAGAAGAACCCGACCAAGATAAAATCAAAGCTGCAAGCTGGCCTCTTTCACTGGAAAAACGACGATTCATTGAAAAACGGAGGGAAAAAGACGGGAGAAAATTGGAAAAAGTGGTGACGGGGCAAAAGGAAAGGGGAGAAATCAGGAATCAAGAAAAATGGAATTCATTTTCGTATTGTCCGGAAAATACAATAATGGTCAGATCATCTTCACCTAGTTTGCCAAGGATCCACTCAAGTGGCATTTCTTTTAATGTCATGTATTTTTTAGATGTCACTTGAAGTTTTATCTTGGTCATTATAGATTTCAACTTTGCAGAAACTATGTACAACTATAATGAGAAGAAAATAGATGTTGGTAACCCCGAATCGCCACAAAAACAGACAACAAGAAAGAGGATCCAGGTGTCACATCTTCAATGTGCATTCAACTGTAAAATAGACAGTAGCACTTATTCTACCTAATTCCATTCCGATACCCTCTTCAGGATAATCGAGTGACCTCAAACATAGCTGGTCGCACAGTGTTTTTTCTTCCTACAGCCTCATCGTCTTCATGTCCTTTTTCACCTACGACCATCTGCGTAATATTTATTTAGGTGCTAAAGGATCCTCAGTGTTTTTTTCAATTTTGGGGAACACTCAATCTGGTGAAGAGGGGAGAATGGGGAGGATCCACTTGCAAATCTATGCAGATGCGGTTGTTTCAAGACAAGGGGAAAGCGCGTTATCTCGCTTGCATATCTTGGCTTAATCCATAATTATAGGCTAGCGTCAGGATCTTGGGGAGAGGAGTGGGATGTCATACAGAAAGTGAAATATATATGACATTTATCATTGTCAACTTGTAGATTGACATCCTCAACTTGTGGATTGAGTGGATTGGGAACCTAATATTAAGAAAGGGCAGATAAAGTTGAAATGATTATATTGAAATAGGAAATTGAGAGCTCAATATTCAGGGAGTGTGTGATTATCATTTTTCATTTCTGCAGAAAAAAAAACACTTCTGTAATAGAAATTATTCAATTTTCCATGACTCAATATTTATTAACCTTACCATATTTTCGAAATTCATTTCATTGAAACAATTCAATAGATGATGAAGTCCATTTTTTGGTAGAAATGAGAAGAAGAATTTTTTTTGAGAATAATATAAATAAAAATGAAGAAATAAGCACGAGTTAGTAAAGCTAGAGAGAGTTTTCTAATACGTTGATGATTAACTGAAAATTAAAAAAAAATAAAGCGAGAATCGATGGTCTTCAGCATAAAGCAAAATGAAACAGATTTTTTTCAAAGTAGAGACAATTGTGAAAGATTTCTAGAATGCGCTGGTAGCAGAGTACATATTGTTTTGTTGCAATTGTCCAGCAATATTCATTCCCTCGATTCTCTCGTAATTCTCATTGGTTACTCGGGTTTCTCCATTTGGACGGAGCTCCACTGGTTGAGTTTGGGTGGTTGGCTCGATCAAGACTGGTGGATTTTTGAGGAGGAACATCAGCGGAGCGTAGAGGAAACTAATGATGGCAATGATGTACATCATTCTGAAAATAGCCTGCTATATTTTTCCTAAAACTTTTAATCTGCTTACGTTGGGAATCCAAGACTCTTGACAAGTGGCCCGGAGAAGAAGGGTCCAAGGGCAAAGGCAAAACAAAAGGCGGCATCGGCGATGGCGTAGATCGATCCATAGACACCGACGTGACGGATATCAACGAGGTAACCCATGAGCGGGAACATGGACGCATCAATCATACCTAGATAAATCTTTGGTTAAAATTTTCTAATCAGATCTATACCGATGGAGAATCCGAGAAGGCCGTGAGGGATAATGAGGCCCGCAACAGAGGTGGCGGATGGAATTGAAAGAAGACTGAAACCAATTACAACAAGTCCGATGAAGGAGGATAGCCATCTGAAATCTGGTATAAAGTTTAAAAATATTTTCTCTATATGTTCACCTTCCAATACGATGAGCCAATGGTCCGAAAATGTTAGTTCCAATCAAATAAGAAATAGAAGCTGGCAAGAAAGCAGCTCCTCTCTCCAATGAGTTTGCTCCCCATGATTCCATCATCCAGAGTGGCAATGAAGGCTCCAACATAGCGATTCCAAGATTTCCGATAGTGATGGCGCCTGAACAATTATGTTAATGCTCGGTGCACTAGAGGTTTTCTGTAGCTGTCATTTTCAGACTTACCAGCAGCAACAATGATGTACGGGTCCTTAGCCAATTGCTTGATGGTTGATCCTTCTGGCTCACCACGATCAATTTTTGGTTGAAGAACCATGAATTGAATTGCTAAAAACGTGTTAGTTTTATATTCTACTAATTATCTTGTACTCACATCCATCAAACAGCGCCAAAAGAGCGAGTAAAACAAATGGGAGTTCTTTTCCACTCCACTGGTACAAAAGTCCTCCGTAAGGTGGTCCAACCAAAACTCCGAGAGCCAAACCTCCCAAAGCAATACCCATTGCGCTTCCTCTTTCCAAATCGTCCGGATAAGCCTGAGCCAACATTCCCATTCCTGAAAAGAAATCATAGAATTTGTGGCTACCTTCAATGTTTAACTCAAAGATCCCAATTTATGTTATTTTTGAAAAAAAAAAAGCAATTATTCATTTTGTCTTTTTTTTAATTTAACACATATCCATACACTATCTTCATTCTCTTCTTGAGAACTTTTCCCCAACTTATATATCTAAAAAGTTGTGTTGTGTCAGTTGTATGTGCTGTGGAGGGAGAAGAAGGCAAAAAGGAAATAGCGAGAGGCGGCCGGGGTCAACACTCAACCAGTAACACGCAGAGAAGCGAGACCCCGCGTGTGGCTAGTATGAATACACACACCGTCTCATGAGGCTCGTTGATCAGGTGGCCGAGTGGTTAAGGCGATGGACTGCTAATCCATTGGGGTTTCCCCGCGTGAGTTCGAATCTCATCCTGATCGAATCCTTTTTTGCTTTTTTTATTCGTTCAGTAGATGAGTTCTAAAGGCGAATTACACATTTTGTACATGTTTTTTAACGTTCTGTCAAAAAAAAAACTTGAAAATATACTGCTAGTCGGAAAAGAGTGAGTTAAGACTTTTTGCGCATTGTTAAGAAATTCGAAATTCGTAAAAAAAGATTCAAAATTTTAATAATCTAAATCTCGACCCTGCTTTGACTTACCTGATGTACTAGTGCACGCTGATCCAACACCCTGAAGAGCTCGAGCCAGCCAAAGTGTAAAATATGATTCCCCAAAAGCAAAAATAATTGTTGAGCAGAACATGATAACGAAACCTCCAAACATTGGAAGAGTATAACCAATTCTAAAATTTAAAAGCAAAATTATGTTTAGTTTGAAATTATGAACCTATTAGTCAGAGGACCGATCCATGGATTGACAAGAAGCTGAACCAAAGCCTTCGAACCAAACATAAATCCCACATGAACATTTTCACTGGCCAGTAGTTTGTGTCTCTCTTCTTCGTTAATTATTCGTTTCGGCGGTTCGTCTTTATTCATCGGAGGTTTCTGGGCAGCTGGGTTCATGTACTTTCGTCTGTAAGAAACAAAAGATTTTTAAAGAAAATCAGTTTTTGTGAAATATACCGGTCATCGTATTCACGGTTCGTGCTTTTCAAATTCTTTCTGCGAGACTCCTTCCGATTGTCCTCACTGCGTCCAACTGGTCCAATCGGGTTCTCTTCCCAGTCTATTTTTGCATTGTTTCCAAGCTTAAGTGGGACATCCCAACTATCATCGTCTTCCCACTAGAAATCAGATGCGTTTTGTATGCAAACATACATACAGTACCGGTCAATAAAACATACAAAACATATTTTCAGGTGATTTTTGGGGATTTTTACCATTTTCAGGAGTCTGAAGCTCGACTGTCTCCAATCACAATCACTTCAAAATTTTTGAAAGAGGAACTAGACCTAGAGGAAAAATATATATTTTGAAGGAGGAAATAGATCTCGTTTTCCAGCTGTTTTCCAAATTTTGAGTGCCACTTCCTATTTTCCACGTTTTCAGTAGAAAAAAGGATGTCTTTCAGAAACAGGCGGATAGTTGAAAAATTAGACTTTCAAACAATTCTGTGAATGCAAAAATTCAAATATATGTCTGTTTCACACCTCAGAAAATTTTCAAACAGATCGAAAACTTGAGAGCCAAGCCAGACCCCTCAACATGGTCGAAATTACCAAAAACCATCCAAAATTCTGCCTTTGTAATTCTCATTGCCCGGTACTGGGTATGAAATTAGTACCTGTCTTTTAACACGCTTCTGGTTATCCTGACTGAATAAAATATCGGTTTCATTTGGATGTTCCATGCGGAGTAGGTATTCAGGGATAATAGGTACTGGAATTTAAGCGGCTTAACACAAAGCAAAAAATATCGTAAACTTACCAACTGTTGTGAGTAGCATATTATCAAGGAATAGGGCAATATAAACGATAAGAAGCAGAATTTTCCTATTGTTCCTATAGGAACTTATAAGATCAAGAAGGTACGACATGGTCCCTCTTCTGCCAAGTTTTTGTCGGATATAAAGAACCCTGAAAATGCAAAAGTACGCTTGTGACAGAGAGAAAGATTTTGAGAAAGAAGTATGATAAAAGAAAATGAGAGAGAACTAGGTAGAGAAATTTCGATTGGTGGTTCCCACGGTTTGAAAATTGATTTAGTATTATTTATGCCTAATAATTGCCATCGAAGGAAAATTGGAGAAGCAGAGAGAAAGAGTGTAGGAGAAGTCACACATAGTCCCACAGTTGAATGTCCCTCGGTTATGACTATAGTCGCGGCACCAAATCTAAAAGAATATGGTGATCGTGAAAAATGAAGCAAAAAATGATGAAGGAGATGGTGAAGGAGATGAGGGAGAAAAGGATGAGGATGAATTGTGAATCCGCGCGGGCGAAGGGCTCATTTAAGGAGAGAAAAAAGAATAAAAGAGTGAACACTGGTAATGACAGCTCATTTCGCATTTTTGCCTCAACGTCTTTCAAAATGAAGACGTGAGCCTTCAGGAATAGATTGAAGAAAATGAAGTCGTCTCAAAAACTACCATCCATTTCATTTAAGTCTAAAATGGGCGGGACCAAAACCGAGAACGAGTAGAAGTGGAGAAGCGCACGAAGAGAAAAAAATATTTCAGGATAAGAGAAAAGAGGTGGGCGCAACAGATTCGCACTACCGGAAGACAATTACTTGACAGTAGAAAATGCAAAGGAGAGGAGGGGGGACGAAACCCAACGGGCGGAATGGGTAACAACGGAAACCAGAATGATGAATGATTCAGTGAAGAATAATGCTTAACACACACTTATTTTTCCTCCTTTCTATGTTTGTAATACAATCCCTCAAAATCGAGGTTCATCAGTTTTACCTAGTTTGCAACAGAGTAACCAGGCAGAGAGATTCTAGAAGGAAATATGATTCCACTCTCACCCCCAACTTTTGATATGACGCGGTGTCTCGGGAAGAAGGAATAACGAAATGAGAAAGAGCTCAAAAGTTTCTCCAGACGTTTTCTGAAAACCAGTGAGAATCTCACGAAAAGGGCAATAATCAAAACAGTGAATTATGCCTGTCTGAGTGATCTGAAAATGGCATTCACCGTGTGAGCAATCACGTTAAATTTCTAAGCAGACTTTTGGGCAATAAGTTTTAGAAAATTATGAAAATTCGTTAGAGCACGGATGCATTTCCATTGTTATATGCTTTCAGGGAGTTGCTTTTTTGGATATGTTCATGGATTTTGGATATTTCAAGCTTGTTTAATCAGAGAAAAAAAAATCAAAATCCTAATAATAATTTAAAACAGTCAGAAAAATTCATTTTGGAACATTTAAAAAATTTATACTTTGTTTCAATAGCTTCATTTCAGACCATTATTTAACAAAATTATCCGAAAGCAATATGTTTAGACCTGGAGTTGTATTGCAAACAGATCTAAAACAGTGTAACCACAGATACAAAAAATGGGATAAGGTTGCATCATTTGATGTTTTGTACTCTGTCCGGAAATACTTGTCTATCCTAATTCTCAAGAAACACACAGACATTACTCATACCGATTCGAAAAATTCAAACCTCATGAAAAGCTCATAAAGTGCTTGAGACGCTTTGTGTTGTCTCCATAGGTGAAATGAGGAAAAAGCAGATGAAATCTCATTCGAATTCAATGATGCTCTCGAGTATAATGCTTCATGCCGTTTTTCACTTAACCGCAACGCGATGACCCCCAGAAGACGACGAAGTCTCATCTGTCAAGTGGCAGTTGTGCGTGTGAATCGTCAACTCTCAATATCATGGAACTTTTCATCGTTTGAATTCTGCTTTGTAGTCTGTGACAGGGCACACGAAAAGGAGTCCGACACATGAAGAAGAAGAAAGGTAGGAGCTTTCTCCTTAAGAATTCTGAAGAATAAATATAGACAAAAAAGCGAGGTAAGTGGGAAAAGGGAGGCCCTGTGTAGAAATAGGGGAGAAGGATAATGGCAGGATGTATTGATGCAATTGCTTCCCGACAAATCATTGGTCCTCATAACGACGAAAAGAGAAAAAAAGAAGAAAGAGAAACCTTTTAGGTCTGCAATAGGCAATTATGTCGCTATTCATAAAGAGCCGTTTACCCAAAAAACTGACTTTCGGCTCCATCTCAAAACAATTCCGTCATATACTTCTCGAAGAAGAAAAGCAGTCTGCAGGGCAATATGGGATATGCTAGCATCGGACGATTGTCTTCCGAGCACTGACACCGCGTTATAAATACAGTATTAGATGTCATAAAATGATTTCGTATACGTATCGTGACGATTTTATGGGTCTTCCGTACTCGTCGGTTTGATGCGTTTAGAGTGCAAAAGTACGTATTATATATTATAAAATCAAATATGAAAAAAAAAACAAAAAAGTGAGTTAGAGGTAAATGGTACATGAAAAAAGTTTTCTTGTAACGTTTCTTATAGAAGCTTTGGAGAATTGAAGTCGCGGGTGAACTTGTGAGACAGTATCCAGCTGATTGTGAGCCAAGCTCTCGTCACCTTGAAGTCAAAACATTTAAGCCTACTTTCTACCGAACTCACTGTTAATTGTCACTATTAATTTCAAGCCAATTTATCTCGGTCCCTGTAATAAAATATCAAAAGTGATCAATATATCGTAAACACTCTAATAGAACGCCACCCAAATCGTCGAATTTGAGCACATGTATCTCATTTTCTGTGAGAGATATCAAAAAGTGGTTAACTAATGAAATGTTTATCATGATGTCAGCAACATTTTACTAGTTGCCTACTTTTTGGTATCTTTCAAAAAAAGTGAGATATATAGGCTTAAAGTTAACGGTCCGGGTGGCGATCTATTAGAGTGTTTACTTTATTCAAAATTTAATTTTTCCTCACTAAATGTTGTCTTCAAGACTGTACTAATCTTTTATGTTGCATACATATGTACTTGCAACGTTAAGTACCGGAAATTTATTTCAGAAATTTCTTCTTTCAAAAAAATGTTTGCAGTTAAAATAAATATAAAATACATTATTAGTAAACGAAAAATTTTCACAGAACGAGTGTCGTTAAGGAGTGTCGTTAAGAAACATTTAAAAAAGTTTCAGAAAACTTCTGAATATTTTTTTTTCAAATGTTAAAAACTCGGGCCCACCGGGCTGAAGAAGTCGCGGGCACCGATTTCTCAAGTACAGTTTTCAGCTTATTTGTGCTTCCTAAAATTTGAAACTATATCAGTATCACTGCCCCAAGCGCTTCCAGAAATTGCATTTTCGTTTCGACGTTCAAACTGATTCTTGGTTCGGTGACCATTAAAAACCAGAAAATAAAGAACGATAACGAATCATAACTATTTTCATAACATGTTCCAGCAGAATCATTTTGGTACATACTATTTTGAGTGATATCACCTTCTTGTTTATTTTTTTCAACGTATCAAAACCCTCATTAAAACGAGGCCAATTATATGGTCAATAGAAACGATGGATGAGAATTTTTTTTTGATAATAGATTTCCGTTGATTTTTTGATTCATTCTTTTTTTTTTGTCTGATTTTTCAACCTTGATTTCGCAATAAATTTTCGGCAGCCTCAATTCTCTATCATAACATTATTTGTCATCATGTAAGTTTTTAAAAAGGCTGTTCATTAGTTGAGAAATCTTCCTAAGGACATCTTTTCGAAGATATCCTCACCTTCCTCTGACAAATCACTTTTTTCTCTTCCGATTTCTTATTCTTCTCCGCCCAAAATTTTCGCAAAGGTTCACGTATCATTAGTTATCATTTACCCCACAACAATCACACAAAACTTTATCTTATCGTTCTTTTCGTTTTTGCTGGCCAGTGTCACTGCCTAAATTGTTTGTTGAATCAACAACTGTACTTGTCTGCAATTTTTTCAGTTCAATGATTCTACTTTTTCTTCTGCCGACTGCATTATTAATTTATGTTTTAATAAGGTAAAGCTAACTAAATGTCAAGACACGGCTCTCAGAATAGATTTTCAGAAATCTCAAAATATATTTCACACTCTATAGAAATGGACTGAACCCCCAATTTGACATATTTGGAATCAAGGGGCTCCGATGGTTGGATAGTTCTAATGCTCATGAAAACTTTACACAAATGTGTTCTGTTGTTGGTGATAAAACATTTTCTATGCTCCGCGGTGCAACACCGGTCATTGTGACCAATGATGTTAATTTGATACATGCAATTTCGACGGAAAGTTTTGATTGTTTCCATTCGCGAATTGTGAGTTTTATTTAGAATAGAAAAACAATACTGGAAAATTCATTAAATTGGAAAATATATAATTCCAGCCAGAAGCTTTATCTGATGACCCGATCACAGCCGAAAATATCCACATGTTTGCTGCCAAAGGTGAGCGCTGGAAACGTCTTCGAACAATAACGAGTTATGGATTATCCACAGTTAAGTTAAAATTGGTATGTCCCATGACAGTTTTGTTGTCCTTTTTATCTAATCATGTTTGTTCAGTTGTTCCCAACCATTGAGACTTGTGTTTCTGAATTTTTGGATCACGTGAACAGCCTGTCCGATGGTCAAAGTGTTGTCATCGATCATTCTCATAGGTTTGTATAATCATCTTCTATTTATAGATTTGACTTTTTTCAGTCTCTTTCAAAATCATACATCTTACGTTCTAGCTCGATGTGCTTACGGTCACAAAGAGCAAAATCATCGAGTCAACAATTTTCTTTCGGTGTTTTCTGATGCGTTCGGGGCATTGTCAGATTTTCAAAAATCAATGACTGAGAAAATTACTTGTGAGTCACTAAAACATAATTCATCTAATTGAGAAATCTATTTGCAGATTTTTTCCCAGAAATGAAGTCAATTTTCAAAAACAACTTATTTGCCCAATTTTTACAAAGTACAAATCAACAAAAATTCTTGGATTATTTACTGAATCTGATCTCAAAATTTCAATCCCGAAGAGTTATCGAAAACAATAATAATGAAGAATCAAGCGACCCCGAAGCTGGCAAGTACAGTTTATTGGAGTTTTTCTTCGAACATCATCATGAAAAAAAGATTGTGGAAAAGGCGGAAGGGCGGATTGACATGAAGAAAGTGAAAGTCGAGAAAAGTATTTCTTATCAGGTGTGAGTCTCGGTTATCTTGTAGTCTAAAAAACGCAGTACATTAGAGTTTCTGCTGGCTACAATGTTCATTTGTTTTGCAAATATTGAAAATTGTTTTGCAAAATATTCAATGAAAGAAAACCGAAACTAATTTATTGCAATACTGGAGAATGTAAACATTTACTATCGTTTGTTTTTTTCAATAGAAAAATAGACATTGGAAACTTTGGAGTCCCAAAAAGTGATCCAAATATTTTTGAATATCGGAAAATGTTAGAGCATACTAAACAAAATTGGAGCTTCGGTTTTATCGTCGAGAACCAAACTCTTATTACAGCTTCAGAAAAGTTAAATAAATCGAATTAGAAAAGGTTTTTTTGAGTGATACCGGTACACTACTGGACAAAAATTTATTCTCGATTTTTTTAAAAGAATATTGAGTTGGCAGGTCTAAAAATTATTTTACTGCTCTGAAAACTTTGTTTTTCAATGTAGACATAAAAAGAGATTAACTTAGGTAATGAAATTTGTCTTTAGTACATTCTGAAATTTTCAGACAAATCTGAAATATTTAGACTATTTTTTCAGACCTCCAAAAATAGTTAATTCAAACTGTAAACGTCAAAAGTTGCATGTGCAAGATAAAAAATAACAGATTTCAAAAAAATTTCGAGGTCCAAAAAAATCTCTTGAAATATTTCACTGTTTTTCCCTCATTACCAGTTTTCATTTGCAGGAAATCACTGCTCAATGCAAATTTATCTCTGTTGCTGGCTTCGATACAACTGCCAATACTTTGACTCTTCTTTTCAATTTTTTGGCACATAACCCGGCAATCCAGGAACAAATCTATAACTCCGAAATCAAAGGAAACAAGAGTAGTATGAATTTCGAGACCGTTTGCTCTCTTCCCATCCTACAAAATTGCATTTTCGAAACACTTCGGCTGTTTCCACATGCCTCACCGTAAGTGTTTACCTTTTTTCCGAATTTTATCCTGTACTTGTTTCAGACTTCAAATGCGGATCTGCACAGCACCGATAACGATCGGACAGTACAAGTTTGACGAGAATATGCAAGTGGTAATCAATCCATGGGGTCCACATCGTGATCGAGTAATTTGGGGAGATGACGTGAATTGTTTCAAACCATCACGGTTAATTTTTCCTGATTGTTTTCAAAAAGTAAAATACTGTATACAGGTTTGAAAGTCTAAGCGAGCAACAAAGAAAAGCATTTATGCCATTTGGTGTGGGACCGAGACAATGCGTTGGAATGCGGTTCGCATTACTGGAATTGAAAACGACAGCATTCCGAATGCTGCAGAAATATGTGGTTCGCTCGACTCAACCGGTTATTGATAGACACGGAAAATTGGTAGGTTGTTGGGAAAAAAGTTGAGAAAATTTGATAGTTTTTAGGTTAACATGACGGTTCGTGATACGGGAACAGTTTGGCCAACGGATAAACTAGGTTTAGTATTGACAAAACGTGATATTTGAAGTTTCTTAATATATTTTTTCACCCATTCGATAAACATTTTCTGACTAAACGGAGACAAGGAAGGAAACAGCAAACAAGCAAAAACACAGTTTTATTGGAATATATTGAAAACTAAGGCTCCAATAGAGAAGCTAAATGAGTTGGTTCATTTGAGGAAACTTCCCCAAACTGCAGTCTCACTGTTATCTCGCATTTTCCGAACAATTTCACACTTTCCAACTTTCTGAATCCGGCACCCTTGCTTAGAGTCATATCGATTGCTTCGTAACCGGTTATCGTTGCTTCATTCTGATCCATTTGAAGGAAGGAAAACCTGAAAAAAGTTTAAGATATTTGGAGATCAGTGTTTTCCATCAACCTGTTCCTAGGAACACTTCCTACGAAGATGAAGGGAACCTTGTATCCATGAATACACTCTATTGTGGCATTATGACTCTCATGCCAGTGAGCATTGAACACGGCAATCTTTGGAACTTTCTCTGGATTTGTTACAGATTCCTCAAAAACCCGTTTCGCAAGCAGCTTTTTCATTTTCGGCTGATCCAACCCATTCAGTTGATGAATATTCACCAAAATTGGAAGAGTCGTGTTCTGAAAAATAGGGGTATACCTTCAATGCTATTGATTCAGCTTACATGTAGTCTATTCAATTCATTCAGAAGATATCTTCTTGGAGAAGAGATGTTCCAGTGCACAGAACCAAACGCAAAATCTAGTTCATAGTCCAGTTTATTGTTGAGTTGCAAAACATGAGCACATGTTTTTGCTGGAAGTGAAGCATAATATTTTACTCATGTGTGGTCCGATTCAGATTCACTACCATTTGCGGAGCACATTTTCTTTGTCCAAGACATGCTGCCAGCTACAATTGTCTCGGATTTGTTTTTAGTTTTATGAACATCGGAGTTTAGGGACATTTTCTCTAGATAGGAAGTGTACCTAAAAACTTTGAACATAAATTTGTTTCAATATCAGTGCGAAATAACTTATTTAAAGGAACTAACCACTGCAACATGGAGTGAGTGCAATTTTTGCATGTTTTGAGATTGTTCTGATAGTCGTGATTCCCCAAACCTAGCAATATGGGGATAGATATGTTGGTAAGCCAGTTTGTCTGAAAGGTTTGTATTGTTATCATATAAAACATGTTTTTCCTTACGTGGAACTCCTCCAACTCATCCTGCCATCCGTTCTGAGTGATATCGCCATTAATTATGAGTGCTGATGGTTTTCCAATTTGATCATTTATGAACTTGACTATAGATTCCTTCTGGACCCTATTGGAGTACCTACTTTCTATCTCATATGTTGTTTGCTGGGCTTCTAGGAGAGTTTGATTTGGCTTGAATCCTGCAGGAAAAGAGTTATTCTGAAAATTTTGAAAAATTTGAAAAATTTGTTAAGAAACATACTCTAGCCATATGAAATGTGCGACGAATATCTTCTGTGACTAATTTACATGGGTAGTTGACATCTTCGCAGTGATAATAGTGCTGTGTGTCTCCCATCAGTAATAAACTCAACGAGTCTTCGGCGTTTTCAGAAGAACTGGGATTGACTGACAATTTTTGAGGAGGATCTGAGGCATCAATAATTATATGGTCTGTGAATCGGAATTTATGTACCACGAATAACTTTCCTTGAGACAGGCCGGACTGGTTCAGTAGAGCACCCAACAGAACTTAACAATCTCGAAAAGAAGACGAATAGAATCCAATGCATCTGAATATGCTTTTGTATTTGCTGGAATTTCTTGAAGTGAAACAAAAAATAAAACAGGAAACGGTAGCTGAACAGAAAATAATGCTGCTTTTATATTCCGTGTGTTTTCTGGATTTCCCACAAGATCATAAAAAACAGCTTATCAGTATGCAAAGGTAAGAAAGGGGTAGAGAACATAAAAATGTGTGTTTTGAAACCTTAAACTAGTGTTAAAGAAACAAAGCATCGAATGAAAATCAAAATATGAAACATCAAACCACTGTGAAAATACTTCACTTTGAGCCTAATTATCTATATTCCAAAGAGAGATATCAAAAATCTATTTACAGACGAAATAGTCTAGTTACAGACGAAATAGTGATTTTATGATAAATAATTTATAAGTAGAAATTTCTTCATATCATTATATCATTTGAAGTAACCGAGATAACTGAGCTCAAGTTTCAAGAATTGAGTTGGCTTCTATTAGAGAAAGTACGGTGTAGCTTGACCGTTTTTTACCAGAAAACCCCAGCAAGACAAAATGCTGCATTTTCAGAAACATGAAAACCTTTAAATATTGTTCTTCGCATGAATGTTGTTTATTCAAAATTTTATTTCAGACCGGTGACAAACCATGTTCTGTAAAGCTGATGAAACAACAAAATAACCAACATTCAAATTCAGTTTTCATGAATTTCATGTTCACAATTTTTGGAAAGGTACAGAAACCAACAAACTTGAAAGTTCCAAAAAGTAAATGAATAAATAAATGCAACAGTCAATATTTATTTGAATATGTCAATTCAGTCAAAACAAAAGTTTCTGAAAAATTCGCTCTCAGAATTTGCAGTTTTATCCATCTGATTGCGGGTTCTTCTGATGAAGTTTCTCCTTTTTCTTGTTGAGTGATCTTCAAATCGAATTATCTCATTTCTGATGCATGGTCCCCACAATTCGACGGTTTCGAGCTCTTCAAGAATCTCCCCATTATGCATCAAACTGTCACGAGCTTTGTATCCCGTGATACTAGCGGTGGTGGAATTCATATCAAATTTGGAAAATCTGAAAATACAGATTCCGGTTCGAGAGTCCCTTCTCTTTGTTTTACCTGTTATTTGGTACACTTCCAATGTACACAAAAGGCACTTTGTATCCCTCGATACACTCCAAGGACACTTCATGCCGTTGGTGCATATGTGCATAAAATGCTCCAATTTTCGGCACCCGCTGATTTGATTCAAAAATGGTCTTCACATTCGACATCCAACGTTTTATCATCATTCGAATCTTATGAATATGCATGCTCTCACACTGGTGCATATTCAAAAGAATTGGAAGAGAAGTACTCTAAAAAGATTGAGTTGAGTTGAGAAAATGAAAAAAAATAACGTGGATGTGATGATAGAAAATAGCTCAATAAAAACGCAAGTTGTTGACTTACCCCTAGGAGGTTCAACTCGTTGTGAAGATATTTCATTGGAGACGAAATATTCCATTTCACGAAAAGAGAAGAAAACTGCACATTGTAGTCGATTGCATTGTTGAGTTGGATTATATAAGCGCAAAGTTTGCCTTTGAAAAATTGCGTTTTTGGTCGGAAAAAGAACTAAAAATCTACCTGAACCAGAGCACACCCTCTCGGTGTAGGCTAGACTTCCAGTAAATTCTACATCAAATTTCACAGTTTTTCGTTGAATGTCCGCAATTAGAGACATGTTCTTAACATAGTCAGCGTACCTGAAAATGAGAAAAAAAAATTAAATTAAAAATAATTTTAAAAAAACCCATGGTAGCTTACCAAGACAACATTGTGTGAGCGCAAAAGTTCAGAGCGCAATCATCGATATTGTTTTGATAGTCATGGTTTCCTAATCCAAGGATGAACGGGGTTGGGAAGTTGTTGTACCAAACTTGCTAAAATAAAAAAAAAAAACTGAAAGCGCTATGAAGAACTGAAATCGTTGTAAAGATGTTTTGTGTTCTGAGAATAATTAATATACCGTATTCCCTATGAGAATATTATCTAAACCGGCAACGTTTAGCTCAATTATCTCGATTCCTGTGAACGATATCAAAATTTTGTCTACTGATAAAATATTAAAAATTTATCAGTTGACAAATTTCAGATATTTTTTCCAGGAATCAAGATGGTTTGGAAAAGCGGTATTCAAAATTCTTCAGAAAAATAGAGACACCATGAATTCAGATTCTGGTTCTCAAAATGTCAGGTCAAGGCTTCAAAAATCTAGAGTAATGTTAATTTTTTGAATTTGTCGAATAAAAATGATAAAGTAGTACTATGCATGCTAAAAATTAAACAATTTTAGTTCGTGATTGCTCCTGTGAAAATTAAATGATGCTCAACTCAGACTCAGATACTGATAGGTCCAAATTATTTCTTCAGCTGCAGAACAAAGTCTACGAGCTATTATAAAGCTTAAAATCGAAATTATGATTTTCAAGTTTCATATTTTCAGTCCCCTTTCAAGTCCTCTGTTAGAGTACCCTGAACTCGTGCAACTGATGAAGATGTCCGAAATCAGTCAAATCCCCATTGATGACGAGTGCAGCCGGCTTATAATCCAGACTGCTAATAAGAGCATCCAAAGCTTGTCTTTGTACACGATTTGCAAATCTGCTCTCTATTTTGGTACACGAATCGCGTCCCTGACGTAATGTTTCATTCACTTCGGTGCCATAGATAAATTCGAGCCTCTGAAAATGAAAAAGAAGATGCAATAAAAAATGATTAGTGTTCCAAAAATCTAATTAGGCTTAAAAAACGAAAGTAGAGGCGTACACTGTTGAGGAAGAATCGAGAACGCGGCCTTTTCGAGACCATCTTGCACTGCACATTATCCTCCTCGCACGGAAAATGGAACTGGGTGTCTCCCATGAGTAATAGAGTTAGTACATCTTTTTGGGGTGATGAAATAGCTGAGATGTTTAAACCTTCTTGAAGTTCATCTTAAGATTTCCTATTTTTTGGAACGGTTTGTTTAGCATGTAGCTCTTACCTGTTACAGTTGTATTATCTTGACATCTAATAAAATTACTGAAAAAGAACGATAAGATAAAAAAGAGCAACATTGGAAAAGAATAGGTGAATCCGACTGGACGTTTTGAGGGCGTGTGGAACAATGACTGGAAAGTTTTGATTTCACACTTCTCTTCTTTTCAAATAATTTATATATGAGACTAAGCAAAATTGTTGATAAAACCATTCTTCTTTTCATTTGCCCCGTTTTGATATAAACAATGTCTTCTCATCGAATGCCAATCGAACGCTGCGCCCCCCAAACACTAGCTATACGAATTCATTCGCTTTTTTTACTGCGAATTCAATTTTCACATGATCACTTTCAGAAAAATAAAATTAAAAAAAATAAAAGGGGCAAGTAAATTTCATTGACACTAGAAAGAAAGAAAAAGTACATAATAATTTATTGTTACATACCATCCGAATTGTGAGGAGCCTGGAAAGTTTTTTTTCAATATAATGATTGATTGGAGCACTTGTGAGATTGTGGTTTGATTCGAATCATTAAAACTGTATTTTTTGATTTGGGAGCTTTTTTGTTATTTTTTGATTAGTACCTTTTGATTACTGACTTGAAAAGAGCACACTGGTTGAAAATGGTAAAGGTAGCAAAAGTTAACCGACTGGATGGGCGTGGGAAGGAGAAGGGGAATGAGAAAAAAAATAGGCAAAAAACCAACAAAATGTTAAGAGAAGTGAAATAAAATGAAACATCAAGATTTTTTATAAAAAAAGGAAAAAATGGGAAAATAAACACTAACTCCGAGATGTATTCAGATGAAATAAATATGAAATGTGAAAAAAAAAATGATAAAATGAAGAAAGAATCGAAAGAGGGTTGGGAGGTTGATACCGGCACCATTAATTTGAAAGTAAATGTGAAATAACTTGAAGATAAACTAAACAAAAGCAGCAGGTTGCCAGGTGGATTCCCTTGGGTTTCCAGCTGGTGGTGCTGCAGCTGCAGGTGCAGGAGAAGGCCTTATCGTATGTATCACTGTAGGTGGAGCCGGAGAGACCACTGACGTTGACGAAGAACATGGATTTGATTTCTTCGGTGATGACGTGGATGGTGACTTTCCAGAAGTTCCAACTGTCGACTTTGCTGCTGCTTCAGCCGCAGCGGCTTCTGCTGCCTCGTCGCCAATTTTTGTGGAAAAGATTGCCGGATGCCGGATACCTGACGCTTCCTGTGCGCCGTCGTTGTTACCTGTCCGACTCGTTGATTCCTCGCTGCTTCTACCACCATTTGGCTTTCCGTCAACTGTCATTGGAGTTGACGATGATGTCGTTGGAACGTCATCTGTTCTGGGCTTCAATTTCTCTTTCTCTGGCTCAGCCTTGGCAATTTTCTTCTCGGTTTTCTGAAAATTCTGGGGTACCTGGGAAAGTCCAAAAGTTCATTTTTCCTAGCCGAGCTACTCTTTAAAAGCATCCAATCCAAAAATACAATCTAGTCGTCGTCCCTTTTTTCTCGAAAGGTCAGCGAAAAATGTTCTCTCCTCATCAAACGCCAAAATCCCGTGGGTAGACGGGAAAGGGAAAAAATGTATGTATGAGGCAGAAAAAGTATGCATAATGAAGGAGCCCGTGTCACATTGAAAATTCAATAGAGCGAGAAGCTGGGGGACACACTCTCTCTCTCTCTCTCTCAACGACGACGACGACGGCGCCGGCACGACCGCGGAGAACCCCTCTTCAAACAAATCAACCAAAAAACATGAGTTTCAAAAAAGCCAAACACAAAAAACTTTGAAGGTAGAGATTTTCATTGCATTCCGGCTCTCGTGACACTCACACTTTTGAATATGCTCAGTCGATTCTTGTTCGGTTCGCTCACATTGTTAGAGGAGGATGTACTAGCATTGGCAGTGTTGACTTGATTGGCCGATCCACCAAAATTGTTGCCGGCGGCTGCTCGGCTGGCGAACGATGGAGCTCCGGTAGATGGTGCATAGACGCCGGACGCCTGCATTTGCATAGATTTTGATATTTTGCACGAAGGATTGAAGAGTCTAATATACCATTTTGTCCGGGTTAGATGTTGCTGCTGATGGATTCGGATCGCTTTTGGAAACGGCATGCGATGCTTTTCTCACAAACTTATTGAAGATGCTGAGTGTGTATTCCTGAAAGAAAACCTTATTAATATGAACCCAATATGCATTTACAGCATCTTGACTTTTTTGAAAATAGATTTGAATTTTATGAATTTTTATAAATTAGAATCTACATTATTATGAGAAAATTGTGAGAGCTGCTACTGCTAAATAAACGAAGGACCCCTTTTTATTCCCCATCTTTTTTTCCGCGCTTCAGGCATACATACACATGAACACAACGCATAGACACAGGCATGTATACATCGTGTGATTCCTCTCATCATCAGTGTTTCTCATCCAGATTCTAATGATTCAAAACCTTGCTCTGATGATCATGCTCCCCTTTTCCCGTTCCGGCTCACTAACCTTTTGTTGATGCGCTGCATTTTGTGCGTCACCGTGAAGATGAGCGTGCTTGTTACGTTCCGACTCGGATGGGATCTCGCAATACGAGATATCACCGTTCTGATGGAATGGAAAGTTGTTTTGCTCGTAAATCGTGCTTGGCAGTTGAGCGAGAATTGGATCTCGTGGTGGAAGGCTCACTTTTCCAGAGTTTACTCGATCTGGAAAATTATTTACAGTTATTTGTCTTCTTTCGAACCCCCCCCCCCCCCCGCTTACCATTATATTGTGCCTCCGACATCACTGTTAAACATTTCTGAGAAACAGCACCAACACTACAGGATCTTTTCACTAGTTCCAATGTCCCATTCAACACTATCCTGGTTACTTGCGGGTCTAACGTGTATTTATTGAGTAACGGCCTTAGTACAATGCCCGTTGATAACGAGTGTCGGGCACGAATGCAGACCAGTCTGAAAACTCAATTTGGTGAGAAAAGTGCAAACGGAAATTGTCTAGATGGGGTGGTAAATGCAAATTCCGAAAACGTTTTCTATTTGGAATATCCGATGTGTGTGCTAAAAAGTTAATCTGATTTAAAGAGGGGATGGATGTACTAACAAGGTTTTTGCATGCTGAGAGTAATGAAAAATGAGATTAAATGGAACGCGCAAAATTTTTTCGTCCGCTATGGGAGAGTAATTTGATTTGATTACCGCTGAGTTTCATAGATCTGCCAAACAGCTGGAAATGAAGATGAATTTGCTACTAATGAGTATACCACATTGATACGAAACAATGAAAATACGCTAGCAAAACTCACTTTGTTGGTGTTGAGGCCGGATTTTTGAATGAAAAATTGGCAGGCAAGAATTCAATAATGAACGAGACAACAGGAACGAGCCGGAGTGCACGCGATTGTAGTGCGTCGATGGCTTGCCTAGCTGGATCTATAGTGCTGCCCGTCTCCGCATCCACAACCTCCACGTGCATCCGATCCATTCCTTGTTGGTCCGCCATTTCTTGCGTCCATCGACGAACCGACATTGTCTGAAAATAATTACAATTATTCAAAGTTCAGTATGCAGTGAGATTAGTATTTTCAAGTTAGGTTTAACGTTAGATTGAACTAGCGGGTTTATCACAGAAGAGAGCTGACAAGTTGGAGCCACTGGTCCCATGATTGTTCCGTCGGTCCCAGAGAGATACCTCTCTCATTTCTGGATCAAGGTATTATCCCTAAGCATATTATTATAAAACTCAGACTCTGGACTTTATTCGATTTTATTTTTTATTTTTTGACATTTTCTTTTGAAGATTCTTAATTCCCCGAATCCTGAATTTTTAAGATTTTGAGAATCGGAAAGTTGGAAAGTTTCAAAATATAAACTTCAAACCTAGAGGATCTTTTTTTTTTTTAATTTGATACCCTATGATATTGAATATCAAGGAGTTTAAGTTTTTGTATATCTTGATTCCTGATATTTCATTTAATATTGAGAATTTTACATTCATGAATTTTTACTGTTTTTCTAGATCATATACTAAGACCCTGATATTTCTGAACTTAAAAGTTATCAATTTTCGCGATTACTGAATTTTCTTTTTTTATTTTTAGATCTATTTTTTTTAATATTTCTGATTCGTTGTTTAATGTGAAAAACAAATTGAAAATACGCTAACACATGACTTAGAAAATGGGACCTTACTCCAAAGATAGGACTGTGGTCAAGGTGATAGACCTTTGCCGTCCGTCACGTTGAGACCGTGCATGCAATTACTGGGACTGGAGGTCCCTTGATAAGCCCTGTGACCACAACTTGAGACCTATTTTCTCTAATACACGCTAACTATTTTGGTTCCATCGGATTAGTTCTTCCTGTTTAGATTTTCAGGTTTTCAAACTCCTTTCAAGTTTCCCTAGATCAAAATATTTCAAAACCGAGTTCATAACTAATCGGTTCCCTGAGTGTTCAGTCATGCTTGAAACCTTTTTGGAGCACTTTCCCCTCCTTCTTTAAATATGCATCTCCATCAATTCAGTCACTTTGTCCTCTCTCTCTTCCTCTTGAAATCGTTTGAAGGTGCGACTACCACAGGTTGAACAAAGAGAACAAAGGAATAATACTCCCTCACCAGCTGAGTTCTCCCCGTGCTCCATTGAAACGTAAAAACAAAACCTGGTGGCGTGGGAGTAAGAATCGAACAGACAACGGGTAAACTTGGAGAAAATCAGTCAGCAGCCAGAAGACTAAGATCTAATAACTAGATCAAAACTCAAATCCACCATCATCCATTTTGTCCGGTGCAATGTCGCTGGGCGCCGACGACGCATTCAATTTTCCTAATTAAATTCCACGCCAGCCACCAGTAAACCCTTAACTCCCCGGAGGCGTCGTAAAAGTTTGTCCTTCCTTTTGCTCCTCAAATAACGCGAATGTCGGTACACACACATTAATGAACTTTTGGAGCATAGCAGTAGCAAAATTGAAATCCGCCACGGTTCGCTCTTCCTCTTTTTTCTCAATTTCCCCTGTTCAAAAAAATTTAATAGCCATCACCTTCTGTGAGCTTGTAGTGCATGCCCTTCTACATCATAAATTCTTGATGAAGAGGGCGAAGTGAGAAAAAACAGCGTAAAAGAAGAAGAAGACTTTTGCGAGCAACGCCCAATCCGGAAATGTTTTATTGAGAAGACAGCACAGGCTTCTTTAGGGTTGATGCTATTCCACTAATTGGGACCCTTAGCGCTTCCCCCACTTCTTCTCTCTTTTTTTTCTCTTGGACAGCTAATGATAGTCGAGTTTATCGCTGTGAAGAAGACGAAGACGAATTCTTGCAGCAACAGCAACTGTTTCATACACCTCTTGGGGATTTGAAACTTCTTATGTGTGTCCTTCATCGCTTTCCGGATTAGTTCGCATTGGAGACATCGAAAACCAAGGGAGGGAAAAACATGAAACAGCGTGATGAACAGCAGCAAAAAAAGAAAAAGAAGATACATGTTTGGCAATAATCAGAAACTGAGACTGAAAAAGCGGCTGAAGACACGTCAAAACTAGAAATCAAACCGAACTAGAATCTCATTTTATTGGAATTCATTCCAGTGGTCAGTTGGCAACTACTTTAGCAACTCAAAATTTGATTTTCCAAAACCAAGGTCAACTAATTTATAGAAGTTAAAAAAACATGCAAAGCTTGAAAAACCAACCGGGTCGTCGAGGGTTACAGTTTCCGTCGTGAACTGATCTCCTATCATCAATTGGCAGTGCTTCGGTTCCACGGGTCGACATCGTTGTCGTAGATGCGTCGGCGACAGGGAGTTCTTCTTGACGGGTGACGTCATCTCGGCCGGCATACTATATTGCTTCGATGCTGCGAAGATATATCGTCGTTTTGATCCGGCAGACCCGACAACACCTCTTCCACCAACCGCCGAGCCGGACGCGCTCGCGTCGGCATCGTCGTCACAATTAGTGGCCGTGTTGCTATCACCGCGTCGCAATCGGCGCGAAAACCGATCCAAACCGTGCCAAAGAATCGACTTACGTTTTTCCTTTGTTGCTGCTGGCGCATTTGGAGCAGGCTGCGAATGCTGCGCAGCTGCTTCAAATTCGTTCGTGTTATTGAGGGCTGAAATATGGGGAAACGTTGGTTTTGAATACTTTTGAAGCACAAAACTCACAAGTTGGTTGGCTATGCCCGTTTTTGTCTTCATCATCCGCGGCTAGCTCTTCATCCGTAAAAGAAGGTTGTGTATTATTAGTGGACCTCAAAAAACGAGGCCAACAATCATATTTCAACAAGTGAAGAATCTGAAACAGAATTGTGTAAACCTATAACACTTCCTGGGGTGGAAAAAAATCAAACCTGATACTGTGCTATATCATAAGTATCTAAAGGAAATGCACCACTTTCTACTGTTTCTCGTATCCGTTTGCTGGTTGAATTGTCTATATTAACAGGTTCCGTACTATTCATTGCAAAATATCGGTCAAATATTCGTCGTCCAAAAGAAACTCTCTCCTGAAAAATGAAAACTTTTGAATTAATTGATCTCAAAGAAAATCATGTACCTGAAAGTCTGATATTTCTTTAAATTGTTCGACTGCTAAGTAAAAATTTAAATTTTCCGCACAAAATTGTTGTTCCAGAAATTCTTGAAAGGGTGAACGTAATAAAGGGTCGCGGATGACTTTCTTGAAGATCTGAAAAATCTAATATTATTACATGTATTTCTTTTTTCTCTGCTTTTGATTTTTTGTGTCTTAACCCGGAACTGAAAAATTTTCAAATTCCAATCTTCTTTTAGATCAAACCCGCATTCTCATCAACATTCTCCCGCAACGGTAAGCTTTCTAAGCATTCCTCGATGTTTCGAGAAAAAACCCGAGTAGCATACTCTTCTTCTTCTTTTTTTCTTCCTGCCACATTCATTGCAAAAACGGGTAAATTCCAGATTATTTGTTAGTCAAGTCCTTTCTGTCGCTTAACTTCTCCACCCATTCAATTCTCTCTTTCTTTTGCTTATATTTTTTTACCCGGAGCCCGCCGGCTGTGCTCAGTGTCGTCGTCGTAGAGTCAGTCAGTTTGTCGCGCCGAGCGCCACGCTTCACCCTCTCGTACTCGCTTCTTTTCTCAACGACATCCACTGGAAAAACAAATGATCCGATGCCGGGCAAAAAGAGAAGACCCCTTACGAATCAATAGAAAAAAACTTGCTGTATACGTAGTCTCGCTCGTTTTTTTTCCTTGAGAGGATGGATGAGAAAGGAAAGAACATGTAATTCCTCAGGAAGGGCATCGGGAGATTAGCGCAAAACCCCCTTCGAATTGCGCGAAAGAACAAGTATTTTTTGAATATACAGCCCTTGAAAAATATATATTAGAATGATACCAAAAACCAAATCGTTTGACGAGAAGAACAGAACAAAACGGCAACAATTTGAATGGAAGACCGTAATCTTCTATTGTTACCAAAAGTTTTTATAATCTTCATAACAAAAGAGCCACAAAATCGTTTGCCAGTTGATTTTCAACACCCCTGGTTAGTTGATGTTTCAGTTTGGTAAAAAGTTTTAGAGAGAAGCAAGAGCACATGGAACATTAACATCTGGAACCAATTTTCAAGGAAAGAGGCTCATGGACCTGGTTTATGATCTTTGGCCAGAAAAGATCGCTTTGAAATGTGTTGGGAAAAAAGTGTGACAATGTGGTGCTAAGCAATTTCGAGCAGCTCAAAAAAGTTAGACTGGAAAACTATAAGTTGAGCGGTTACTTAGAAAAGCCAATTTCGAAATCACACTAAGATTGATCATTTTTGTCACAGCGAAATGAACCAAAAATTTAAAAAAAACTAAATTCTTATCTATTATATAGTTAATCAGAAAAAAAAATCCAAACTGTCGGAATGTGTGAATTTGGAACAATTGAAAAAATTTTTTAAATATTTTCACTCGAATTATTAAAAAAAAATCCAAAATTAGTTTGAGAAAAATACTGAACGTTTTATCAAAAGCTTTGAATGAAAAGAGCCAAACTTCGCGATTGAAGACCAAAAAGGACAAGTCAAGGACGTCGATTTAATACGACTTTTGGTTTGAAGCAACTGCCAAAAGGATACGAATCATTAGGAATACGCGAGCCCGTCTTCACTTCACAAAGTCATTCTTTTTTGGTGCTCTCACTTTGCTCTTAAGCTTTTTCTTTTTTCCACGCACTCTCTTGCGCAAAACCATTCGTCCGTTTCCGAGAGAACAATTTATTCCATTTTCGTGCATCTCACTTTCTCCCCAATTTCCATTTTCTCATCTATCTTTTCTTTCACTTTCTTCTGTTTTCATTTTTCATTTTCTTCTTCTTCTTCATTTTTTTATTTCAATTTTTCAAAATGCACCACTTACCTTCAACTCTCTCGAAGAATTCGTTTCACCGGGCGCCACACCAACTCCCATCGATAAGCTCGATATAGATGTCTCATTATTAGGTGAGGTTTGTGTCGGTGTTATGTTGGGCTCGTTTCCGGAGCACGGAGTCGACATTTATCAGAGGCCGACAGTGCTGAAACATTACAATTTATCTTCATGTGTAGATTTTTTTCATCCATAGCCGTATTTTGAGCGAGCACTCCACAAGATTGATGATGGTCATAAAATTCTAGGGTTCGAAGATTTTCTGACGGAAGAAGTACGTAATAGTGGGGAGAGAGGGAGGGATATACGCCGTCAATGTGCATTTGGACGATTATAGACATGCACAACACACAAGAAGAAGAAAAAAATCATGGGGATAGAGAAAGAAAAGAATGCAAATAATAGCCCACACATGAGTCGTAGTAATAATAGTCGTTGATATAAAAAAGTGGTAATAGTTATCGTTTTGCGCGCCTCTTCTTTTTTTGCATTCGTCTCTTTTTTTGGCTCTGTCGTTCTAACTACACTCACGCCCGCGCACAGCTCATGAAACATAACTCACAGCAAAACTCACGCATGGATGGTTGAGTGCGCGAATGAAATGCTCAATGACAGTGAGTGCCGTGGGAGTAAAAGCAAGAAGAAGAAGAAGGAAGCGGCGAAGCCGCAAAGCGGGCACGAAAAAGCTGGAGTAGAATGCATAGAAGGGACAAGAAGAACAAGTAAAAGACAAGACAAGAAAGGCGACGACGATGGTGAGGCTGAAAGTGAGGAATGTGGCGGAGAGAAACGAGAAGGCTCGCGCACCCTCTCCGATTCTCCGCGTCTATATTCCGAAAAAGCGATTTGCGGCAGCAAGGGGTGCGACGTGGGTTGCCTGCGGTGGCGCGCGCGCGAAATAGGAAAATGAAAGGCAGTGCGCGACAACCAGAGGTGGTTACTACTGTGTGGAAAAAAAGGAGAGAGTGAGTTCTCAACAGAGGGGAAAAGTAGGAGAGAGCGAGTCGAACGAGGAGACTACTGGAAACGGCGAAAAGACAGAACGAGCGGGACTAGCCGCAGCTTTTGCCATCGCCGACGTCTTCTTTTCCTACTACAGCTTCTTCTGCTTATTCTACTACTACTTTATTGCTGTCGTCCCGTTGTGTCCGTTGTGTCGCAACTCTCTTCTGTCATTCTCCATGTAGAAGCGCCCGAAGGCAGGAGGCAGTTGCAAGAAGAAGAAGAAGAAGAAGAAGAAAAAGAAGAAGAAGAAGAAGAAGCAATATCCCTCCACTAGTGTTGCTCAAGCACAGGTCGACAGATAAAAGCATTTTCCATACACGTCGTCGCACAGACCAACACAAGAAGTACGCGACCGAAAAAAGTGTCCCTTCTTTTTTTCTTCTTCTTTTACTTCTTCTTCTTCTTCATCTCCATTTTTTCTTCTTCTTCTCTTTTCCAATCTCTCCTTCAGGGCTCACTATTTGATTGTCGTAGGCTTAATGATCCGCACTACACACTCCACGCAAACACAACTCAGACGTTTCTTTTCACGGAGCCGAATGAATGAGTTTTGCGACACGCGATTCAGAATAGGCCGCTTCTTAGGCGTGAAGGACGAAGAATTGAAAATTTCGACTGATTTCCAAAAAAAGAGGAATGAAATAATTTTCAGGTTGGAATAGAGAGACGCTCTGTCAAAAAGAAGAATACAGACAAAACGATAATTTTCAAATATAATATTTTAATTGTTGAAATAAACTCTTTTAATGCTTGAAAATCTAATTTATCCATCAGATAATTTTTTTGTAGATTTTGTAATTAGAAAGAAAATAATAATGCTGAACAAAAAATATTTGATTATTACAGTAAGTTTTGCTATCCTACATACTCACATTATTGAAAAATTAGAAAAGATAGGTAGGTTCATTCAGATTCAATTTTCAGGAGTAGTGGTGTTTCAATTTTGTTGTGTTCCGAGAAATTTGCAATTTGAGTTCCTATTATTCTTTTAAGTGTAGAGGTGATTCTATAACTCATAACTGCCGAAATTCAGACAAAATCGAAATTTGGAATTATATTCAATCGGATATCAGACTTTCAGGTACATGATTTTCTTTGAGATCAATTAATCACAAAAAAACTAGACCATGGTGTTAAAGACAAGCGAACGCAGTACAGAGAAAAGTTCAGAACAAAATATGTAGTGCAATATTTATTAATTCAAAAAAGTATGTTCCTCCTTTTATCCTTAAAAAAAGACAGTTAATCTGTAACAATCAGAGCCATAAAAATGCTAAATCTTCTGAGAACTTCACAATTATTATCTTCAAATTCGAAGCTTATTGAGAAAAATCTGATGGACTACGGTATGAATATTTTTAACTTCTTCAATTAAGGTTTTAGGGGACAAGTGTCAACTTTCTTTGAAGGAGAATGAAAAATTTTAAACAATTGTTACTTGAATATGTAATCTGATCAAGTGAAGGAAATAAAATAAATATATTTCGTTCGGTATATCTGACAGCGTATAATTAGTTTTTTTTTAAATTGTAAAAAAATCCGAATCAATTTGAAAGTTTGCTAAAATGAATGCTGGAAATTTTTTAAATCAAAATTTGAGGCATATTTCGATGGGATGTCACAAAGAACAAAATATGGAGAAGATGGCAAGCTCACGCCTCTCAGTTTTGAAAAAAAAAAGTAAACCTGAAGAGACGAATTGCTGACAAAGAAAATTTGGAAATTTTTGAAAGAACTCATGAATTACAGTCACGCCTTGATGAAAATCAAATGGAAACTTGAGAACTGATTTTTTTTAATAGTTTAATATTAAAAAAGAAACTCGAAAGCCAAAAATAAGCCTCGAAAGAGCTGCGAGAGAGCTTCCAACCAAATTCGTTTACATTTTGGTTCTACGAAAAGTGATTCATCAAAGTAAACAGTGGTTGGCTGGTTGAAGGCTTGCCGAGCATGTACACAACATAACAAAATGAATGATGGTAAATCTAGGAAGAATCTGCAATTTGAGAGGAGAAATCCAAAATAAAGGAGAAGCTAGCATAAGCAAAAAATACAAGATGACCTCTTCCTTGCAACTTGACCGCGACGATAACAAAGATTCACCAGGCTTCGTGACTCATGATGTCCGGTGCTCGGTGTGGGAAGAAGAAGGAGCAGGAAAGTAAAAAAAGGAAGGGTCGAAGAGGTTAGGAGGGGATATTGCAGATTTTTTCAAGGTAGAGAGAGGGGCGGTCCTAGAAAAATGCGTTTTGACGGAAAATTGGAAGAGAAGGGGCGTGGGGGTTTGAAACGAGAGTTGGTGGGGGCTGCTGGTCCGACGGAGTTGCATTCTGAACTGAAAAGAAGAGACAAAAAGGGGAGGAGGGAAAAATAGGCGGAGTAAAGAGAAAGACAGAAAGAAAAAAAGAAAGAAAGATAGAGAGAGAGAGAGGGAGAGAGAGAGGGAGAGAGAGGGAGAGAGAGAGAGAGAGAGAGAGAGAGAGAGAGAGAGAGAGAGAGAGAAAGATGAAGAAAAGTGACACTGGAAAAATGCCTGTGAGAGTCCCTCTCTCTCTCTTTCTGAATGCTTGTTTGCGTTATTGAAAACATGAATAGCCTCCCCAAAAAAAATCATGTCCCATTCATCAAAATGAAACTATTTTAAAATTCAGAACTTGGTGAGGAAGAATCAGAATAGGCCAAAACTTTTGAACCGATTAATGAAACATTTCGATTTGATTCGTAAGCAATAATTTAAAATTCATTACAGATTAGGCCAAAGGTAGTAATTTTAACTGGAAATTCGAAAAACAATGTACGTCTGATATTGAAAAAGAGACTCTGGAATATCGTGTGATCTCTTAGAACGTAAGAAGCCTTTTTTGACTTACGGTGAAACATTTTTATCAAGCTCTTATTTTTTAGTTTGACACGTTTGCGCTGTTCTTGTACTTGATTATTAAGAAGGACTACAGTAAGCTTTATAAAATTGTGTTCTGAACTTTTGTGTTTCTGGGAAAATGTTCTCGAAACGTAATGGAGAACACGGGGAGAGCAGCAAGCCTAAAATAGGATATCTGATCTGTTATTCAAAACGTCTCTTTTCTTGTTCGCCTGAACAAATTTATCCTCACATAACCTCTCTCTCTTTCCTTCGATATCGTAGACACTGCATGATGTTGGCTCAAGAAGCAGTGAGCATCTCAAATCTCAAAACCAAAGAAGGGGAGGACAGATAACTTTGGAGAACAAAATCTCGAATTACAGGCAGGAACAGCTCCATTTTCCGCGCTCCCAATTTTGCCTACCCGACGACATACACTCACATGCACAACATCCCACTTCATCCAATTTCCTATCCTTCTTCTACTTTTACTCTTCATTTTTAGAAGGAAAAGAAGAAGTAGTAAAAGTAGTTGTCCGGTTTGATATGCAACTGACAACTAAGGGAACGGAAGCAATAGCAGCACAGAACCACACAATCAAACAGACGAAAAAACACGCCACTCGCCACTTACCTGACCGAATCGTCAGCGGTGATTCGGTGTTTTTGTTGTGTCTGTCAACCTAACCTGTTTTTCAACACACTCGCCGAAAAAAATCTGAATCTTTCTGATTTTTTTCTCGACTCCTTTTCTCTCCTCTGTTTTGACAAAAAACAGAACACCGGCAGTGAATATTGTAACTTTGTGTGCAGTGTGACGTTTTCTGACTTCAGGTTACGGTAGAAAGCAAACTCAAACTGATAAAATTTCAGAATTACCTTCGATTGATACGCGATAACTGGTATGCAAGGGGGGGGGGATAGACAATATGGTTTTTGTACCAAGTCTCTGCAAATAATGGGAAAACTGAAAATGAGAAAACGAAAATTAAAGCGAGAAAACAAAGTAAAAAAAATTAATCAAGTGACGGCTTTGGTTTTTTGGGAAAAGGACACAACACATTCAATTTGAATCAGAGAAAAAGAACGGGCCAGTGAAAAAACGCAAAGAGTATAAAAAAAAGTGATCGGACCCATATGTGTCCAAAAACTCACTATAACTGAAACATATAGAAGACGAGGAAGGGTGAGGAAAAGGGGCGGAGAGAAAAAAGTGAGAAAAGTGCACATTTCATTTCTAGAGCTCACACAGAGAGAAAAAGAGCTCCGCAAAAGAAATGAGCCTGGGAATGTCTGAGACATTCTTACACGACGAATAAGACGAAGAAGAAGAAAAACGATAGAGAGAAGAAGAAGAACAAAGTGCGAGGATCAGCCTACCAAAGTTTTGGGCGCGACAAAAAGTATCATGTTTCGTGGCAACTCGACAGTGCGCGTGGATTTCAGAAGGGAATGTGTTTGGGGCAGATTGGGGCGTTAGGTGAGGTAGAAAGGGGTTGGGAGAGGGGCCACGTATTTGCATACCATTAAGTGCACACATGATGAGTCTTCTCAAGTTTCTCGTCTTCTCTTCTCTACGCCAGATTCAATATGTGCGTGTTTGAGGATGTGTGAGGATATGTGTTGTATGTGTCTGTTCTTATCCATATTTTGTCATTGTCATCAAATATGCGGTCTCACTCGTGTTATTATTTCAATAATAAACTACGGATGATCTCTGGTTTTTGTGAGGTACGGTAAGTCTAAAAAATCAGAGTATTCTTTCTAAAAACTCAGCTTTGATATTGTTTTGACTGTTTGAGTGAGGTCGAATTAGTCACATTAGATTGAATGGTTCTAAAGCTTTTCAAACATTTGATGATTGTAAAACTTTTAAATAATTCTATTCGAGATTCCAAATTCAAAATGGTTGAGTTGTAAATACAGTACCGGTCAACAAGCTATGCAAATGTTATTTTTCAGTTTTTTTGCGGCGTTTCTAGTCATTATGAGTAGTCTGGAGCTCGGCTGTCAAGCTTCCGATTGTTTTGAAAATTTTTTAGGGTGTGAAACATATCTGAATTGGAAACTTTGATTCATAGGATTCCTTGAAAATTTCTAGTTTTTCAACTATTTGCCGATTTCTAAAAGACATTTCCTTTCGGCCTGTTTTTGCACTAAAAATGTGAATAATCGGTTATTTCAAAAACGATAAAAAGCGGAAAACCTAGGCAATTTTCAAAAAATTCTGTGAATGCAAATGTTTTAATCTAGGCGAGTTTTACACTTTTCAAAATTCTCAAAGTGATCGCAAATTTGACAGCCGAGGTCCACACTCCTGAAAATGTTCAAAATGGCCGAAAATCGACTGGAAAGAAGTTTTTGTATCACTTATAAGCCGGTACTGTGGGTTGATCTAGAATGGCAGTTACATCTGATTGCTCATTTTGAGATGATTGTTTGATCGGTGAGAGTTGATTCAGTTTTTTTCAGATCATTTCTTAAAGTTTCTAGTTCAGTAACGAAAAATTGCAAGAATGTAATTGAATGCTGGAAAAACAAGCTATTTTTAGTGTTTTTCACTGATTTTTAATTTTTTCTGACTAGATCGAGAGATTTCTCATTGCGTTTTTCAGGTATCATCTTATTCGACTGTATTAACAAAATCACTAAAAAAAGGGAAAATCTGAAAATGGATCAAAACCTTCTAGAAACCAAAAGAGTGAAATCTGCTTCACCGAAGCTTGACAGTGCTAATGCGCGACTGAAAAATCAGTGAACTATAAAAAGTGCATTTCGATACGATGGAAATCTCTGATCATGTTATTAAGTTTAGCTGACTGTCCGTTATACACCACATTCTCGAAAGACAGAA